TTTGGGAAGGTGAGGCAGGAGGATCCCTTTAGCCCAAGAGTTCAAGGTTGCAGTGAGCTATGATCATGCGACACCAAAAAAAAAAAAAAAAAAAAAAAAAAAAAGTAGAAGTAAAAGAGAGCTTCTAGAAGATGGAAACTGTATTTCACTAATGTTTTATCCTCTATGCTTAATACATAGTAGGTACTCTGTAAAGTTTATGGAATGAAATACAAATGAATATTCAGCCATTACCATACCTATCCCCCTGTGGACATTTTCCTATGTTTTAGAAGATGTGATCTGACTGTATGTTAAATATGTATGTATTGCTGAGAAGGCTGTTTTGGAAATAGCAGCGTCCTGGCATGCTGTTAGAATTGGGTGACCTACAAGGAAGTTACCCTATATCTCAGGCCCCTTCTGGCCCTGAGATTCTATGGCTTTTTGATTTCACTTATAGAGTTTGTGGTATTTCTTTAGCACAATCTCCATAGAATTTAGGAACCCTGATGTACAAGTGTCTTTGTTAAGCCCTATCAGAAAAATTGTTTCTCAAAGGGATTTTTCTCATTTATTTGTAATTTTCCAAAATAACAGTTAGAAATGTAGTCAACTGCTGGAAAACATATTGTTAAAGTAAGACATCAGCAAAAATGGCAGAGTAAGGACCTCTGAAAAAATCTTTCCATAATAGTAATGAAAAAAATGTGCAGAAATGGTCAGAATCAACTTTTGTCAGAACTCTGGAAATTAACTAAAGGTTTGCAGCAATCCAGGGAGCATGTTGGCAAGAACGGTGAGCTTTGTGGTGTTTTAAATCACTCTATTCCCATCCCTTGCTCCCTCTGCAGTAGCCTTGAAAATCACTGGGAAAAGCAGTAGCCTGGTAGCCCCCAGAGGAGACAGAATGGGGTTAGAGCTCTTTAAGGCCTCATTTCTAGTGTCATTATTTGATCTGTCCAGCGGTTCCCAGGAAGACCCCACTTGCAAACTGTATTTATTTGACCTGACTCAGAGCTGCACAAAGCCTTTTTTCCCCAGGGTCGTTTTCTTTGAAAACTGTTGGAGGCAATCAATTAACTTTTCAGCTGCCTGAGGCAGTGGATAACATCTCCAGCTAACCAAAAAGCTTAAAAAAGGAAAAGCTGAGGAATGAGATTTCTTGGGGCTTTGAAAATCTTGGGCATATTCCTGGGAATCTAGAAGACCACATGCATGCATAGGGCTGTGTGCCTTCCCAGGGTTGTGCGCATGCTCAGGAAAGACCTGACTAGGCCCTGAGCATTCCCTCTGGCTGATCTCAAGCCCTGCACAAGCAGAAAGCGAAGCCAAAGGCAGAGCTATCAACTGCCTGGCTGAGTGTTGAAGACATGCCCCAACATGTACACAGAGCCCCTTGGCCAAGAGTGGGGACTTTTTGATTCCAGTTTAAGGAAATCTTTGTCCAATTATTAGCTTGTCACTAAGTTAACCCAGCAGAGACTTCAGTACGATAATTATTATTAAAGTAAAATGGAACAGGGTGAAGGTGGTGGTCCCTGAGACCTTCTAGAAGCTAATTCTTGGTCCAGCAAGTTGCATATTTGTGGCTTTGCCTGTACAGCCCCTGTCTCTTTAAACAGGCTGAAAGGGAAGGGAACTTACATCAAGCTATTGTCTGTTTTTTAAATTTTTTCAGGCAAGGTAAAAGTAGTTTGTGAATTATTTTTTTTTTTAAAAAAAGGATCGCTGCCATTCAGAAGTAATTGTGTTGGAAACAAGATTTCACTTCTGCACCTCGACCGCTTCCTAGATTGCTTCTTCAGCAGTCTGAGTTCTCCCTGTGTGGGACCTGCTCCTCCCCAGACCCTGTTGTACATAATCTCCCCATGTCACTGCTCTTTGCTTCTGTTAATTCCATCTTCTGTTCTGCCTTTCATTTGTTCCATACATGTAGCTTTGACTCAGGGCTGGCTGTGGCCTGACACCTTGCATCTGTCTTCTAAGAGGAGAATCAAGAAGAACAGAGACTGTATTGACCTTCTTGCTGGCCTAGTTAGGCCCAAGAGGGGGTAAAGAGCAAGAGACAAATTCTTTGGCTACCATTTTGGTCAGAGCCATCCCAAATGAAGCAGGGCAGTTGTCACAGGCTTTAACAGGCGGTACTAATTTGACCAGATAGCTGGGCAGTGACTCACTGAGACAGGGTTGGCGATAGAGAAATGGTTTTTTTTGGCCAGTACTAAAAAAAGACCCAAGGCTTATATGCATACATGCTGTACATTCATCCAATACCACCCTTCCTCACCCCTACCAGGGCAATGCCAGAGAGGTTGCCTTTTCCCACACTCCTCTCAAGCTACTTATTTTCTGATTTTCTTTCTCTTTCTAGGCTACAGTGGATGTTCGTCTTAAACTGATTTCTCCTGCCTGCGTGGGGTAGAGGGTGTAGGGTGGGGAGGTACACAGTGTGATTTTCCCCGCCTCGATCCACCACCTCCTGGGGATGGCCTGACCTGGGTGATCATTTTTAGACTGGTATTTCCTGGGCATGGGCCAGGGGCTGAGGCCAGCAGCAGAGAGGTTAAGATGGCACAGGCTCCCTGGCAGATTTGGTAGTGATGGATTTTCACTGGGGAATGAAACGGCTGTTTCATTTCTGACTTCTTTAGGTTTGAAACACTGCAGGGACTATAATTTTAATAATTAAAACATATTGTGGAGAAAGGCTATTTAAATCCCTGAATGATTGGAATTCTGTAATATGTTTCAAGAAAAGCACTATCCCAGGTTAGCTGTGTTTCTAAAAGTGCTTGTACAAATTATAACTTCAACTTCCCACAAAGTATTCTGAGCAGTTTTTATGATCAGAAAAGACTCATTTATATTTAGGAGCATTGATTTCTATGAAAACAATGTGCTCCTGCCTTAGAAAACAAAAACAAAACAAAACAATTCATCCTTTTGAGTGAATTAGACATATCCCACAATGCCATTTGCACAGGAAACTCTACCCATAGGGCTTCTAGAAACTATTTTGAGAGAATCTCTGCAGCTACTTGTAGCTATGCAAAAAAAGGGCCCCTACTCTCTCTGCGCTCTCCTCTCCGTAGGGGCTGAGGAGCCTGCAAGAGCTGAGAGGAGGTGTGTGTTGAATGTCTTACCTTTGAACATGAGATACATTTTCTCACAGAAATAACACCATAAGCTGTGAAATATACCATCAGTTTAATTTGTCCTGTTACAGATTAAAATAGGCTTTTGTGGGCTGGCTTGGAAATGTATTTACTACCTATAATATTATTTCTCTCTGAAAATTATTTACAAAGAATGTTGGAGATAGGACCCTTTCATAAGTCAGTCCTGAGTCTTTTAGCAGATGTTTTCCCCATAGGTGGTCCAAGTGTGAATTTGAATTTTAACTCCTCCCATATTATAATACATGATCATGAGATCTGAAAGTATGGCCTGTGAACTAATGAAGTTTAATTCTATTTTTTTTGGTTATTTTATCTTGAGAGATAACCATAGTTATATGAGATAGGAAGAAAAAACTGTTTTTCCTACTCTCACACTCAACACTCAATGCTTCTGATACCAGATGTGTGGGGGTTTTTCCCCACATACCAAGCAATTCTTCAGCAGATACCATCAGTGTGTCCTATAATTCAATTTAATTCTGGAAGTGTCTATCTGGAGTTAGAGTCAGATCCTACAGGTTAAGGGCTCAGTCCCACAACACTGCCCCCACTTCAGATGTCAGTCAGAAGTCCCAGGTTGTGGCCTGTGCTTCTGATCAACCAGCCATAAATTGGGTTCCGTATTTTGCTAGGATGGCTCACAAAACTCAAACACTTTACTTATATTTACCCATTTATTATAAAGGATATTACAAAGGATACAGATGAACAGCCAGATAAAGAGATGCATAGGGCAAGGCATGTGGGAGGGAGTGCAGAACTTCCACGCCCTCTCCAGGCATGCCATCCTTCCGACACCTCCACATGTCCAGCAACCTGGAAGCTCTGCAAACCCCATAGTTCAGGGATTTTTGTGAACCTTCATCATGTAGGTATGATCGATTTTTGACTCAATCTCTAGCCCCTCTCCCCTTTCCAGAGGATAGGGAAGAGGTGGGGCTGAAAGTTCCAAGCTTCTAATCATGGCTTGGTCTTTCTGGTGACCAGCCCCCATCCAGGAGCCCACCAAGAGTTGTCTCATTAGGACAAAAGATGCTCCTATCACCCAGGCAATTCCAAGGGATTAGGAACTCTATGTCAGGAACCAGGGTCAAAGATTAAATGTCAGAACAAAAGATGCACCTAGCATCACTATTGCTCAGGAAATAAGAAGGGTTTTAGGAGCCCTGTGCCAGAAAATGGAGATAGAGACCAAATATATATTTCTTATTATATTGCAATAGTCATTTGTGAATCCCAAGAACAAGTTATATTTATCTCAGCCTCAAGATCCTTCTTTGCAGAAGCCACATGTGAATAAAATGACAAATAAAAATACTATAGAAACATCTGATCTTCCAGCTAAAATATTACCATTTTTACAGTTGTACAATCTTTCAGGCTTCTCACAGCCCCTTCTAAGCCACTGGCCACTAGAAACCTCACAATACAAACCACACGATACTCCGTGTGACGTAGACAGGAGTTAGATATGCAGGTATTATTGTATCACCTGGATACACTCCTGCTAGAAGTTAGATAGTTGGCTATTTACAAAGAAGGTCCCATAGCGGGGGCAGGGGGGCGAGTTTTGAAGTAACTGTGGCAAAATGACTTTTCAGAGATGGTGTTAAATGGGCTTTGAGAAAGGTAAGGTCAAAAGAGACAGCCAAGACGAAATCGCTCTGCTAAAAGATTTTTAGGTTTTGTGAGTGTCTTTGTTCCTCAAGGAAAAGGATTTGCTCCCATTACATTCATGCTGATGACCTTTCACCTTCCAGGCAAATGTAATAATCAGTCGACCACAGGAGCAAGCCCCTTCTATTAAATTTTGCTTAAGTTTCTTTCCTTTTCTTTCAGTTTTATCCAAGTATGAAAACCAGATTACTATTTTCACTGACTACCTAGAAGAATATTCAGATACAGATGAGCTGGTATGGATCTTGGGGAAGCAGCATCTCCTTAAAACGGGTAAGGTTTAGTTGCATTTGTCTGTGAGAACCTAAATGAGGTGGGTGCCTGAGGTTAAGGGCCTGTACTTTTTTCTCTATGGGTTGGCAGAGCATTGCCTTGATAAATGTTAACACAACCCCAAGGTGGATTTACCTTACGCCAATTGGAGCTTAAACCTCAGGTCTCTTGCTTGCATGGCCCCTTCCAAGACCCTGAGAAGGCCTAGCAGTGTGTTTATGTGGTTATAGGTTTTTGTACGATTTGCAAAAGTATTATATTTTTATTCTTTTCCTTAAAAGAGAACCCTCAAATTCTAGAAGCCTTGGGTTTCAAAAAACATGGACGCACTCTTGGTATCACTAACCAGTCTCTAGCCTTTGGTGACGAGGCTACATATTTCTTACTCCTTTCACATCCTTGTCTGTCTAGATAAAAACACTCAGGGACTTCTACACAACCCATGGCTGTCAGAAACAATGCCAGACCCCAGAAGTTTTTCTTATGTTTTAGATTTTTTTTGCTGACTATAACACTGTCTCAATTTATTCTGATTTTGTATAGAACTTTTAGCCACTGCAGCTAGATGGAAAGGAGGCTTGCTTTTTTTTTTCTTCCTTACCATTACATTCTTTTAGATTGAGAAAGATTTTTAACTTGAAACTGCTAATGACCCAGCACCCCAGAAAGAGGCAGTTCTGAGATTTGGATCTTTTTGAGGAGAGATCCTCTTGAGAGGCCCTTAGCATGGAGTCAGGAACAGGAAGAAGCTGATCAAAAGGCAAGAAAGGATGTTAGGCATTGTCTGGCTCCTCCCCAGTTTGGTTTCATTATTTTGATTGGAGAATTGTGACTAGTGGAGAGAGCCTAGGAGCCAGCAATTAGGAGACCTTTTGAATTCAGACTCTTCTCCTAACTCAGGTAAGTCACTTTCTCTTTCTGGGTCTTAACTTCCTTCACTCTTACTTCAAATGAGGCTACTGGAGAGGCTCTCTTCTAGTTCTATATTCCATGAAAACAGGAATCCCCAGATTGCCGAATCCACCCATATTCAAATGTTCTATTGGGAAATGCCTTTCAAAGTGAAATTCTTGTTAAAATGTCCACACAACTTCCCCAGCATAAGGCCACACAGGAAGGCAGAGAACTGTCAGAGGCAGGAGCAAGGGGTATGAACATTTGAGAGGACAGGTATATAATAACAGCTAGGATTTCCCACAGGCTTACTATGTACTAGGCACCATCTAAGCACCTTGTGTGCATTATTCTTGTTGGATAGTCACAACTCAATGAAGTAGGTACTATTATTCTCCCCATTTTATGCATGGGGAAACTGAAGCTCAGAAAGGTTAAATAACAACGTCACACAGCTGGTAAGTAGCAGAGTCAGGGTTCCAACCCAGGCAGAGTGTGACTCCACAAGTCTTATTCTTACACATCTGCTTCCCAAAGTGTGCTAGGCACTGGGGGCATGGAGGATACAGAAAATCCAGCAACTCAACTGTCTGATTTGCTCAAAGAAAATGGAAGAGAGAAAATAAAAACCATTGGCTAAAATTGCATTTCCCTTTCTTCTTTTAAAGTGCAATGACTAAGTTCTATACAGAACATAAATATGAATGTATTATTGAAAAGGCGGAGAGAGATGACTAAGAAAGACAGAACCACATCTAAGTACAGATGGAAATGTGGAAGCTATATTCATAGCCATCAAAGTAAATTTATGTCATAAAATCCAAGAAAGCATGCTTTGAAAAAAGACACAAAAACATTTGTGATGTTATATATCCATTTAGATAATAAATGCCAGTTGTGCTAGGTACTATGAATAAATTTCTTACATACTAGCTTACAAATTAGCTTACAAATTAGCTTAGCAGGGACATTTTCTCTTTAGTTAAACATACACACAAACACACACACACACAAACAAACCCACCCCTGGTTTTAAAAAATAGACAATGGGTACCGACACGAGATCCAACCAACCACCATCATTCAGGGCGGGGCTCATTGCCCTGTTAGTGGGTTATCTAGGATCTTTAATTTTTCTATTCCTTGTCTTTGAGTCATGACCCCAGCATTAGTTCCTGTCAGGGCCATGGAGCTCAATAAGAAGGGGACAGGAACCACCTAACATCATTGGACCAGTCAAATAGCTCTGGTCAAAACATAGGTGGTGGTGGTGGTAGGGGGAATATCGAAATTATTTGGCTAAAATGAGATTGGGTTTCCTATGAATTTCCCTAGCCCCGTGATAATGGAATTGACTGGTTATTTGAAATTAGGTTTGCTGCTGGCTCAGGAAGTCAAAGGCAGGTATTTTTAGATGAGATATGGTGATTTAATTTTAATTTTACATTTAATTACAGAAAAATCTAAGCTGTTGTCTGATATAAGTGCTCGTCTATGGTTTACATACAGAAGGAAATTTTCACCAATTGGTAGGTATATCATTTGTTGTACTGTGCTTTCTTCCTTGTAGATAGCTTGCCTGAGGTTTTCAGTGACTTCACAGAAACCTCAAAATTAACAGCTCACTGTGGCAAACAATTTGATTTAGGGGAAGAGGTAAGTCATCTACTTTATCCAAAAGTTTCACTGCTGAAGTACCCCATCATGTATGGTTCCATGATGTTGACATGTTATGCCAGTATACTTTTCGTTTTTTTTTTTTTTTTTTGAGACGAGGTCTTGCTCTGTCACCCCAGCTAGAGTGCAGTGGTGTCATCATACCTCACTGCAACTCCTGGGCTCAAGCAATCCTCCTGCCTCAGCCTCTTGAATAGCTGGGACTATAGGTGCGAGCCACTGTGCCTAGCTAATTTTTCTATTTTTGGTAGAGACAGGGTCTCGCTCTTGCTCAGGCTTGTCTCGAACTCCTGAGCTCAATTGATCCTCCTGCCTTGGCCTCCCAGAGTGCTAGGATTACAGGCGTGAGTCCTTTTTTCTAGATGGCAACTACATTTGGTAGTATTTGTTCTTTAACTAAGGTAAGATTGGCTTCCCTGAGAAGTTCAGGGCCATGCAAGTGAGCTGTGAAAGGCAAGGTTTGGCCCAGCAGATGATGACATGGAATGGACTAAGTGTTGGTATTCATACATGGCGGTCATCTACCAAAATTGCATGCATACCTAGAAGTCTGCAAGCAGAAAACCTAAGGGGCAGGTTTAATTCATTTGCTTGTTTTGTTTTTAGGTGTAGAACCTGTTTTGGTTAACTCAGCACTAACTTAGCAAGTTCCAACCCTATACCCAAATTCTGTTTGATCTTTGGCTATATCTCTTGCCTGCCTTTTCAGAGGATGCATATATGCCCATCTTGTGTGAGTCCCAAATATGATGATGTTTCAGGAAGAGGCGATTTAAGGAACCTGTATTCATTCCCATCCATTTTGCCAACAGGGGGAACGGGCCCTTCATCGGATGCTGGCTGGGGATGTATGCTACGCTGTGGACAGATGATGCTGGCTCAAGCCCTTATCTGTAGACATTTGGGAAGGGGTGAGTTACGTTGTTCTGTGAACTACTTCAGAGACCTCTGCAGTATCACGTGCTGCTGTTGGTTTGGCATTGATGCTGAGCTTTAGGAATGCTCCGTGACAATGCTGCCGGTCCTAAAATGCTCTCTGCAAGCTCAAGTGGTAGGGCTAAGTCGACAAAGCCCCTCATAGGAAGGAAACAGCCAGTATTTCCTTGTGACTCACCAAGTCAGAGAGTTATTTTCCTGGGACAGAACTGAACATTGAGGCAGGTGTGTCATTTGGAGTTTCCATCTTTGCTATTGTTTGAGTGAGTCCTTAAAAACTGCCAGATAACAAAGGCAGCAGGAAGAAGGGTGTGGTGGTAAGTCTGTTTCTTGACCTTATTTAAAATAAATATCTGCCTAGTGAAGGATGTAAGTGACCTAAAGGAAGTGCCTAATGAGGGAGCTGGCACTATTTTGGTTTTGGTTCACCGAGGATGTCCAGCTGATGATGAAGGAATCCTTAAATTAGCTTCCTCAGGAGGCCCCTTCATTAATTAAGGACGTTCCGGTAATGGTTGCTGGAACTCTTGAGTCTTGCTTTCTTGAGACATGCGCATGCTTCGCTGTGGGCATCTGAAGGATGACCTTGGCTGGATGCCAGTTCAGGCACTGGGGTGAAAATCTAGTTGGACTTGGAGATGAGAGAGTGAAAGGACTCTTTGGATGAGACTGGGCTGGTCAATCCATGGGCTGTTGCTAACTGAGGTTCAGAGGGATGGACATCACTGTCCTTTCCCCACTGTGCAAACTCACAGATCCTGCTGCAGCTTTCAGAGAGGATTGAGGAAGAGTCTGGGGAAGTTTTAGGGCTTGTTGCCTTCATTTTCTTCAGGGTTTAGGGTATCTTGCGCCTGCTTCCCCTGGTAGTATCATAATTCTACTTTACAGATGAGGAAACTGAGGCTCAGGGAAGTGGCATGATTTGCCCAGGGTCAAACAGCAAGAAAGCAAAGATTTGGGAATAGAATACAGATCTTCTGACTCTGTGTCCAGTGAGTTCTCTAGTACATATATGCTTCTTGGTGCAGAACCATTCTTACTATTTAACTTTTTCTCATTTATAAAATACTCCAAGATGATTATTCTGAAAGTGAGTTCTGGAAGTGGGGAGTGAACTGGAAAAAACCCCATCAGTCAGCAGTCTCAGTTATTTCAATATGAAAGCAAGTAGCAGGAAGAATTTGGAAAGAGATCTTATAGCTAAGATGCATCAGAAGATGTAATTTTGTAAAGAAGTTTTTTGGATTGTTTCCTATTCAGCTATTTTAAAAATGAAGTGGGGTGTTCACTTAGCACTGTCATCAGTAAATATTTAGTGAGACTTAGCAGCCAGCTAATCAGGATTTCCCCAGACTTGGACAATTTGGAAGCTAATGAAAAAAGTTGGGTGTGGTTCACCCCGTGAAGGCTGTGCTGGATCTGAAGTTTAAAACTTTGGTTTCAGAAATACTAGAAGCTAAAGAAAACTGAAGATTCTGGAGATAATGGCCTTTGGCTTCAAGTACATTTCAGTCTTTAATTCAAACTCTCTCAAAAACCTCAGGAGAGAGAGTCTTGGAAACAAATTATTAATAAACCTCAGAAATCTGTCCCATTAGACAGAGTTCTTGGAGGTGAGAGGATTGCAGTGGTGCACCCTGTCCACAGTGGTGATTATCTAGAGTTTTTGCAGTTGCCCTCAATAAGTTGTAGGATTTGAGGGGGCTGTGCCTAAGGCACAGATAAGATCCCTACAAATGTAGTTATTTTGGTTTTGGTCTTAAGGAAACCTTGAGCACCTTGATAGCAAAAGTATTTGTTTTTCCAAAGCTCAAGTGTGGACTTTAAAAGAGGTGGTGTCAGAAACGGCAGCGTGCAAATTTTTTTAAGCTTCCTTAGTTGTGAATTGTGTATATTCCCCTGTGAACTGTTGTATGTCAGAGCAGCACTTCCCCTCGTGAGACCTTTTGGCAACGCTGCCAAAATACAAGGACAAAAGCCGTTGCTGTCTGTGTGGAGATGAGACATTGTGACGTCTGCGTTATATACGGATATACTACCGGGCTTTGTGGTGACCTTCTGTTCACCGAGTTGCTGGCCAGAAAGGCCTTGGTGACACTGTTTTTACGTAGTAGCATTTATCTAGCTCCAGCCCTTAGGGTAAGTCAATTCCTTGGTCAACCTTCTTGTTTTGCTTTTACTTTATACCCACTGAGTCTTTGAAAGTAATCAGCTTCCAGATGTCTTTGTCATCAAAATGAAAGATACTTAGGAATGTTCTGACTTGATCATTCCCACCTTCTAGATGTAGCTCCCTTGTTTTCCTTCTAACTTGGTAGTTACAATAAAAGTGCAGAGAGGTAATAAACTGTTACAAAAATGATTTTAACCCATTTTTTCCCCTACAAAGACTGGAACTGGGAGAAACAAAAAGAACAACCCAAAGAATACCAGCGGATCCTACAATGCTTCTTAGATAGAAAAGATTGTTGCTACTCTATCCATCAAATGGGTAAGGTCACAAATCGATAGTTTAAAGGGAATGCCTATTCTTGATCCTTCTTTCCCCACCTTATCTGTCGCTCTACTAAATTGTTCATCTGCATAATTATTTATGCAAAAAATTAGGAGTTTGTGGCTTGTTGGAAGATCTTTTGCTAACGTGTTAATTTTTTCCACATAAAAACAGCACAAATGGGTGTAGGAGAAGGGAAATCAATTGGCGAATGGTTTGGACCAAATACAGTTGCACAGGTGTTAAAGTAAGTAAAAGAGTCTGGCATCTGCCTCATTCTACTATCTTCTATGCTTCTCTCCCCAGCCAATTAAACCTCCCATCAACCTAGGTATTCTCGCAATCCCACTAAGCTATCCCTCCCACTAAGCCATCAAACATCTGTACCATTTTGCTCAGACAGCTCTTTGAAATGTAGAAATATGAACATGTACCTTGGTATATCTGAGTTGTATTCATTGATATCAGTATATGTGGTTGTACCCCAGGACTCGTTCAGTATCTCATACATGCCAGGGAGCCATTAGCCTGAGGGTCCCTTTGAAGCCAAAAGGTTCATAGTAAGTAGAGGAGGCTGAGGCAGCCTAAGCAAGAACTGGACTCCCACTGGATTCCCAAAGGACTGCATAGTACTAAAAAAAACCCTGTGAATTCATTCAACATTTACTGGGTAACTTTACTGTGCTAAGTGCATGGTCTACAGAAATAAACCAGACACAGCCTTGCTTCAAGAAACTCACCACCTATTGGAGGAGACAAACCCCAAGGGAGTCTTGGAATCGGTTTGTCATCTCTTAGCAGACACAGGGTGTCCCGTATGGTACTTTTGCAGTTGTCCTGTTAAATTCCAGAATTCACCTCCCACTGTAAGGGGTGATATAGAGAGGCCAGGACAAACTTTTAGAAATGAATAGGGTGAATGGCATTAGTAGCTACTCTTGCAGGCCACCTCTCCTGTTGTCACTCTCCTTCCTGACAACCTATCACCAAATGAAAACTCCATGAGCTCAGAGATTGTATCTGTCTTGTTCACTTTGTAACACCAGCACAGAAAACTTCCTGGCATGCAGAAGCGCTCAGTGCTCAATAAATGCTTGATGAATAAATGAAAATGTCAGCCAGAATCTAGTGACAGATTTAGGGATCAGAAGATTGAACTATGTGTCCTCCTTTGGTGTAGTATACTTCAGTTCTTGGGCATTCTGGTGGGACTTGCTCCATGTAAAGCACCCGTGGAGCCCTGTTTCAATTGTTAGCCAGTGTTCCATGAACTAGAATGCTTTCTGGATGTGCATGTGAGGAAAGTAGCCTGAATTTACTGGAGGCCCAAGGAAAACCTCTACCTTGGCTTTACTCCTTGCCAACAGTGCAGCCTCCCTGAGACCACTTTCTCACCTTGGTCAGAGTGCCTCGCGCATCCTTGACTGCCGAGTGAGGATCTATCTGGCAGTATTTTGGGAACTGCTGTAGGAACCCAGGCTAGAAAGTGTGAAGGATTAGAATGGCTGTGCTGAGCCCCAAACCCGGCTTGAAATGGTTGGTTTTTAAATGACATCCCTCAGAATGTGCTTCTTTCTTCTCAATTTTGAGGTTCCCAACAACAAAGTGGAAACATATATTTTTTAAGAGAATTTGAGTAGGTTCTGATTCATCATCATTGTTATCACTAACAACAATGTATTATTATTATTCTGGGGAAAGATAATACATTAAAGGGAATAAAATAAAAGTACAATAGTAGTTAACCTCTTCCTGGGAACTACTTTCGTAGAGAGAATGTTTTTTCTTTTGTCCAGTGGGACTGGGCTTTGCCCACATAGCCCAAAAGTAGCCAGGCTAAACAGGTCTTCTCGCCAACTGGTAAGGGGAGAAGAAGGAAGGAAGAAATAGGTACGTTTCTTAGACCTCAGATGATCTCTCTTTTAAAGGGGTTTTCTTTTTAATCTCCCCTGAAGTCCTGCAATTCAGCCTACTGGCCCTCTTCAGCTGCTAATCAGTAGGGCTTGGTACCCGAGTTGATGTGAGGCCTAGGACTACTTGAGGGGCATTCTCAGTGCAGCTGGGAAGGGGTAGAAGAGATTCTCTCTCCCTCTTTCTCTCTTTGGGTTTTCTTGGGACTCATTCTCCATATTACCTATGATCGCAAACAAATATATATATATATATATAAAATGACAGTTTCCTTTATCCAAACAAAAAGCAGTAAGTCAGAATGTCTTTTATGTAAGAAAACAAATCTCTTGGGATTTTGGGAGCAGATGCATAGGTAACTTTACTTTTTTGCCCAAGAGTACTGTCATTTTGTGAGGTAGACTTTTCCAGGTTGTAAAGCAGAGCCTTCTATTTCAAGTTCTGATACAGTGACTCTGTGGCACGCTCAAGGTCCCTAGACATGGAATATCTCAGAGCTCTGGCAAAGGAGCCAGAGCTGACCTGAACACCAACTTCTCTCTGTGGCTAAGTGTCTGGTGACTTTAGGAACGCCGGGTGTAAACTGTACTGCTTCCCGCTGATACTTCCATCTTCTCCCGTTGTGACGTCATTCTATGTTGCTTTGCAGAAAACTTGCTTTATTTGACGAATGGAATTCCTTGGCTGTTTATGTTTCAATGGATAACACAGTGGTCATTGAAGATATCAGTGAGTCCCCAGCCCGTTTGCCTTCCTGGTTGGTGGGTGATGAGTTTCTTCCTCACCATTGGGAAATCTGGGGCTCGAGAGTCTCTCTGGCCTTTCCCACCAGGGCAGGGGATCTTAGGGGAGCTCTGGGCTCGGATTCTCTTCCCTCTCAGCTTTCTAAAAGGGAGAAAACCACTAGAAGGTCTTTGCTGCCCTTCAGCGAAGTACTACACGTATTCCCTGCAGGCAACCCAAAGTGTGTATAATCTGTTAAAGCACCAACAGATCTTTCCTGGAGCCCCCCCTCCCCCGTCTGGGCCTGTGCTCTCTGCCCTGGGGTGTTAGCGCAACCTAAAGATATAGTCCCTGTCTCAAAGGCCCTTGCAGACCAGTTGAGAAATGAGACTCTTTCAGTGAACCAGAACCCCTTTCGGGAGCGAATCAAGTGCTCAGTGGCCAGAATGAAGGACACGAGGGCTGGAGGAATGGCCCGCATTTACTGTGGGAGGGGGGGCCAGCTGGGCCCTGGTGGCAGAGGGGAGGACCTTCTAGGCAGGGCAGGGGAATGTGAGGTCCCCCTTAGTTTTGCTTTTGAAGTATCTCCTAAGGCTGGACACCTCTGACTTACCCAACTTTCTTATCTTCTGTTTCTAGAAAAAATGTGCTGTATCCTTCCCTTGAGTACAGACACAGCTGGTGAGAGCCCCCCCGATTCTCTGAGTGCTTCGAACCAGAGTGAGGGCACCTCTGCCTACTGCCCAGCCTGGAAACCCCTGCTTCTCATTGTACCCCTTCGCCTGGGCATAAACCAAATCAATCCTGTCTATGTTGACGCCTTCAAAGTAAGTTGCTCCTTTCCCCAAGCCCATTGCGGCCCGCCCATCACACCGCCATGTCAGCACAGAGATCCGTGAGCAGCAGTCTACAAGTGAGTTGAGAATCTTGCATTCTCTTTCCCTCCAGGAGTGTTTTAAGATGCCACAGTCTTTAGGGGCATTAGGAGGAAAACCAAATAACGCCTATTATTTCATAGGATTCTTAGGTAAGAAAGGAGGAATCACAAGTAAGTCATCATGGGCTAGGGGAGGGGGTCGGGAGAAGGTCTGCACGGGAGACCAGGCAATTCCGGTTAGCGGGCCCCTGTCTAGCCCAGGGATGCTGCAGCCTCTGATCAGCTCCTTCCGTGTCTGGCCTGATCTACGGAGAATAACACTTCCACGTGCCTGATGGAAAGCAGGTCCCCTTTCAGTGGCTCCACCTCCTCGCCTCTTGATAAGATGGTTCCACTGCTTTCCCACTGGACGGCCCCAAGGTCACAGCATTGCTCCAGCACGTCTCTCTCTCCTGCCTGTGGGGCCCAGGGCAGCGGGGTTTTGTTCTTTTGGCTTTGCCAATCCGCCCCCTTATTGGGGTTCAGGCAGTCAGGCCAGGAGCCATCCTCTGGCTTCCCAGTCCCCCGCTGCTGGGCCTGCTGAGCCTGCTGGCTCATTGTTCAGAGGAGAGGAGGCAAACACAGAAGTGTCCCTTTCATGATAATGGGGGCTAAGCCTTAAAACCACTAACCTCCTAATGTGGACCCTAATGAGCAGCCCGACAGTTCCTACATGGATTGGCACCCCTGGAAACCCAGCCACCTTTCTCACTAGCTGAGACCACAGACATTTAAGGCCCTTGGCACACAAGGCGAGCTAACCCAACGCTTCTCAAACTTCAGCGTGCACACAAATTACTTTGCGAACCTGTCAGGATACAGATTCAGCAGGTCTGGGTTGGGGCCAGAGACTCTGCATCTGTAATTAGGTGGTGCCGCCCTGCTGATCCACAGACCATGCTTTGAGTACTAAGGGCCTAGACACCTGGTTAGTGCTGAAGAGCGTGAGTTAGCGAGTGATGCGTCCAGGGAAATTTGGTACAGGACACCTCTTGCAGGAGTGGAGTGGTCTGAGACTGGGCCTCAAGCCAGTCATGAGCTCAGATTGGCCAGCAGGCAAGGGAGAGCTAGAGCGGGTTATGAGGGAATGGCATGAGGCGATGTGCAGAGGACAGGGTGGAGCTGGCCTTGGTCACCCTCCCCACCCCATCTCCTCCTGGGACATTCAGGGAGGTGAGGTGGGATGGAAGCAGACACACCTGACTGCATGCCCGTTCTCCACTTGCTAGCTGTGTGACTGCAGGAAAAGGATATCAACTTTCAGTCTCAGGTTCCTGTTATGTAAAATAGGGCTAGCGCCTGACTCACCGTGTTGTCATCTCACAGCAAGGCGTTCAGCAAAGAGCCAGGCAATATAGTACACACTCAGTGAAAGGTGGCTCCACGTTGCCTGACCCCGACACCTCTTTCTTCCTCTTGAGGCTGGGGCGGTTCTGCACACAGCTGCCTCTATGCTAATGCTGCCATCTATTGGTTGAGCGTAAGAACTACAGCTGAATGGAAAACGTGGCACCTGTAGCAGCTTTTATTTTTTCTAAGTGAAAAACCCAGTATTTGGAGTTATGTAAATCCAGATGCCCTCTAAGTTTTTGGGTCCAAAGAAAATGTTGCAAAAATATATTTCCTATTGTTTGTGCTTGACTTGGTCCACGCAGGCTGCTATAACAGAATACTATAGACTACATGGCTTATGAACAACAGAAATTGATTTCTCACCATTCTGGGGCTGGAGTTTAAGATCAAGGCACTGGCAGATTCGGTGTCTGGTGAGGGCCTGCTTTATGCTTCATAGATGGCTGTTTTCTTGCTGTGTCCTCACATGGAAGAAGGGGTGAGGGAGCTTTCTGGGATCTCTTTCATAAGGGCACTAATCCCATGCACGAGGGTTCCACCCTCATGACTTAATCACCTCCCAAAGGCCCCACCTACTAATAGCATGACATTGGGGTTAGGATTTCAACATATAAATTTTGGGGGGACACAAACAATCAGTCCATAACAGGGTTTGAGGACAACTTTGAAACAGATTGGAAAATAATTTCGGAGACATCTCAGTGAATAGTGTATGTGATTCCTGGGTACCGTGGCCTCCCTATTCCAAGTTACCTAGAGGGAATTCACCAAGGCGACATAGCCTTCCTGTTTCCTGAGGCCACTGGGTCAGGGTAACTTCTGCAAAGTTTGACTACTCATTAAAGAGGTATGGGCAATCCTCCATTCTTTAATAGCCCAAGACATAGTTCACATAGTACCCATTTGCCTGTTAACTTTTGTAGATCCTTTGTGCAAACTTCACGTGAGGCCCCCAAGTCCCTCCAACTCCCCTTTTGTGACTCACCCCCTTACTGTACGAGGCTAGGTGGTCCAGACTGGAAGGGGTGAGAATTGCCATTTTCTTAACAGCTGTCCTGTGCCAGGGACTCAGCATTGTACGTTCTCTCTCTCTCTCTCTCTCTCTCTCTCTCTCTCCCTCTCCACATATATGTATATTAGCACAACACCCCTGTGAGGTGTTATTTCCACTTCACATGTAGTGAAACTAAGATTAAGAGAGGGTATTTGCTCAAAGTCACTCAGCTAGAAAGTAGTGCAGCCAGGATTCGATCGTAATTTGGGCCCTCCTGCCCAGTGGGGAGCGGGGAGAAGCTCTAGGTGTAGGAGGATATGGCCAGGGTGAGACGCTGGCCATCAGATTTTGACTGCTTAAAGAGAAGGAGATATTGGTTCCCTGCCTCTTTCCCCCAGGCCTCATTAGAGGCCTTTGTTTAGTGTCCACATCATTTCTAGGATTTTTTACACCTTCCACTATATCTCTTATAAGTACTCTCAGAAGCACAGAAGCTTGCAAAGCTCCACTCTGCGCGCACATGCGCATGCATGCACGCACACACGCACACACATACACACACACACATACACAGCCCCCATGGGAAAAGGTCCTGGCCAGAGTCAAAGAAAACGTTATTATTCCCAGCACCTTAACTCACACTCCGGCAGATGGCTCGATTCTAACCGTACTTTGGCTTTCTGTTTTCTGGTCCACAACTCCCTTTTCCTCTTACCTCTCTATGGCCTTAGGTGGACTTCCTTCGAAACATCTTGAGTGTTATTCTTTAGAAGGACTTGAGGCTTTTTTGATATCACTGATCTCACCCACCTGTGGTCTAGGGCAGTATCTGCCTTGACTTTCATCAAGCAAGTCATATGGGGGCACTGATTTCTATATGCTCTTAAACATACACTTGTGGGTAAACACTTTCGATTTGCAGTCAGATAATTCTCTAACCACCTTGTACTTATATTGCATTTTAAGCATTCCACAGAGGTCAAATCTTCTGGTTCTTATAATGCCCTGTGAAGTAACTAGAACAGGCCCAATGACCCCAGTTTAAAACTAAGAAAATTAAGATAGAGAATGAATTAAGTGGTTTGTCCTTGGTTTATGATAGAGAAAAGTTAAAGTTTTCATGAGACATCAGAAACACAGTCTTTGCCAACAGAAACATATAGATGTGCACAACACAGTCCTGGATGCCATTCCAGAGAGGGTGTCTGGGGCATCACTTCTACCCCAATCTCCTGCTGCAGGTAGATCTCTGTTTGGTCATCTGACACAATCAAGGACACAGAGACCCCCATGGCCCTCAGGCCTGGACAGTGAGGTTAGGTTACACCCTTAGGTACTTTTGCCTACTTGGCGTGTGGCTGAGGACTCTCAGCCCTTCAAATGTCAGCTTAAAGTAGAAATTTAACTATCCCCAACTCCTCCCACACCATTTTTGGGCCAGGCTTTTTCAATTTAATGAAGTATGGCTTGTGTCATGTGTAAAGGTCAGTCATTTCAAAGTGAGTTTTCCCAGTGAGGTGTATCTGTACTGATGTCAATGTGACAAAGGCAGTGCTTTCTGACAGGAATTGACTAACTTGCTGGGAATTGCTAACCTGCTAGCTAACGAGGACGAGAAGTCAGGTCATTGGGATCTCATCCATAACAGTTCCGTCTGGGTAGCATTTCTTTTGGAAGCCGAGGCCTTTTCCTCTACCGGAGGCGTTCTCTGAGTGTAGGTCTGAGAACCAATGGTCTACAGTGAGATGCTTTCCAATGTTGAAAGAGGCAGAAAGTTCCCCATTGGTACCTGGGCCCATGGCCTGGTGACTCTACCTCCCGCCTCTTTGCTACTGCTGCTCACAGAGCCTGCCGTGCCATCTGTGGTCTCTCATTCCCACCTTTTCTCAAAGCTGTCACTTCCCATTTTTGGACTTGGACTTGAGGAGATGTGAATGCTAGGGCTCGTCTTCTCATTGAATGATTAGATTTGGGTGCACGTGGCTTCCTTCAAGCATGCTCATGCTGGCTTCAGGCTTTCTGTCATCCCATTCTCATTGTCACCAAGGGAGGGGTTAGGAGAACCAGAGCACCTCCTCCCAAGGACAACATTGGGCCAGGGCCAGTGGTTCTTCAAAGGTCTAAGCATGTCTCCTTCAAAACAGGCAATGAGCTCATCTTCTTGGACCCTCACACAACCCAGACCTTTGTCGACACTGAAGAGAATGGAACAGTTGATGACCAGACTTTCCATTGCCTGCAGCCCCCACAGCGAATGAACATCCTGAACTTGGATCCTTCCGTAGCATTGGTGGGTATCTGAAGATTGGGTGGGCCAGGAAATACAACGCCACCCTGTTATAGACTTGTTCCCAGGGAATTATCCAGGTTGCTAGGGAGGGTGGCAAGAGTATGTTTGCTCACCGCCCCCGTGAGAGGCAGTGGAGTATAGAGGGGAAGGAATGGACCCTGGAGCCACACTGCTCTGGTTTGAATCCTGGCTCTGCCATTTACTAGATATGGACTTAGTGGGAGAGTCACTTAACCTTTCTGAGCCCCAGTCTTCCCATCTCTAAAATGAGGAAAACAATACTTCCTTCTTTGTGGGGGTATATGAGGTACAATGTGTGTAAGGCACTTAGCACAGGGCCTTGAACATTGTAAGCATTCTTTAAATGTTAGTTATTATTAGTATAAGCATCTTTTCCCCTTTTCCTTCTTGTCCTCGAATTATTGCCACACAGGCACAGGGAGTAAGGTGGGACATAGCTAGGGAGTGATAGAGGGATGAGACCCCCTGGATGAACAGTACCTATTTCTCAGTGCGTCTAATCCAGGAAGTTGTAGAATTTTTCCCCCAGAAGTGTGATTTCTGTCTACACACACTGAGGGGGCATCTGCCTGTGAAGTAGCCAGTGGTTCTGAGGCCTGTCTGTATCCTCTTTTCCCAGTTAATCCAATTGTCACAGCCCCAGTGACCAAGAGCTGAGGGTCCTTGTCTTGTGGTCCATTCTTTCACTACTGTCAGGTGGCTCTGAGGATGGGGAAGGAGACTGATGTTTCTCTCTATTCCGATAATTTCCTGAAGGTCAAAGCCACCTTATTAAGTATTGCCTGTAGCTAAAAGGACTATTTGGCTTTTTTTTGCTGGTTTAATTGAATATTCTTTGTAGATGTACATATCTGTGCACTGAATGTGATGGAATTGACCCCGTAATTTGAAGACTGGTCTTCAAGTTGAAATATAATATCTCATAGCATGAGAGGAGATGGACAGGGAGGGAAAGGGACAGGAAAAAAGGAAAGGGACAGAGAACAAGAGTCAGAGTGACAATGAGAGCAATGGTGATAGAGTTGCAAATGTTTTTGCCCAAGTGAGGCAATGAGTTAGGAGAGAGAGAAACCAGCCAGTCTTTCGCCTTTTGCTGCTGGGAAGGAACATCCAAAGAGAATGGCCCACATGCTAATTCTGGATGGACAGTGCCATCTTGCAACACAAAGGGCGATTCTAAATTGTGTTCTTTTGCTTCCTCCCCAAGGGATTTTTCTGCAAAGAAGAAAAAGACTTTGATAACTGGTGTAGCCTTGTTCAGAAGGTAAAGCCATATGTTTTTCTTGGTCTTAAAAAATGAATGTAACTCAATTTGATTCCTTTTCAAGATTGTTTTTCATAGTAACGTAAACCTAGTCTGATATGACTTTATTGCAAGAGAAAGAAGCTAAGGCAACAAAGAAACTATCAAGTGTGGGGAATTGTACATAGCTTTGGGGGAACTGAAGAACAGCTTTGTTTGAAATATGCTGAGTATGTCAAGTGAGATTCTTAGGGATGAAACTTAATGTTTCATCTCATTAAGCCTAGGGGTCATATGACATATTCAGCTAATATTCTACTATTTTAACCTAAAAATGCCAATTTTATATTGCTCAGCCTAAATTCTTCCTTACTCTGTTCATAACACTGAGATGGTTAAAGAAGCTACTTTCCTATTTATTTAGTGGTCCATTTACAGCTTAATATATTCATTCCACCATGGTTTAGAGGGTTTGCCCTTCTATTAGCTGTCTTATTTATATAAAGTATAGCCATGCCGCCTCTTAAAGGAAATAACAATTTACAGAAATCCATGTAAAGTTATTCTTTCTTTTTGGTATCTGTGTAAAAGGGAATTATTTCACTGGCTCACCAAACGTTATATCTGCCTCCCTCATCCTCAGCCTGTAATATACTCCAAATATATGGAAGACACTGATCCATGCTTATTGAAAGGATGAGGGGAGGGCATAGGGGTACAGATAGTTCCTGACTTACTATGGTTCAACTTATGATTTTCCAACTTTATGATGATGTGAAAGCGATACACATTCAGTAGAAATCATACTTTGAATCTTGACCTTTTCCTGGGCTAGCAATATACAGTACAATACAGCCACAGCTCCCGGTCAGCCATGCGACCATGAGGGTAAACAGCTGATACTCTATAGCACAGTACTGTGTTGCCAGTGTTTTTTAGATAGTGTTTTATGTTTTTGCATCCCATCATGTCTACAAAATGCCTGTTTTCGGCTTACGCTATTTTCAACTTATGATGAGTTTATTGGGATGTGGCCCTATCATAAGTTGAGGAGCACCTGTAGGTTAAAGAGCCCCAGATGGGCTGGCAGGAGACATGATGTTCTGCTTGCAAAATGAAAGGAAGGGAGAGGTGGGGGCGCAGCGCCTTTGTAAATGTAAGGAGGGAAGATTTTTCTTCACAAGTGAGCAAATAATTAATACTAACATCCCTGACTGAATCTGAAACCCCAGTTAATAATTCACTGAGGCATAATAGAGAATTAGTTTCTAAAGGTAATACATTTCAGAATGCAGCAAAACCATATTTATATCACATTTAAAGGTAGAATGAGAATTCTCTGATAAGACTATGCCATTTAAATTAGGATATGTACCATAAATGTTGGAGTACAACTGAAACCATGCCAATATATACCATAATTTTCTTGGAATGGATTTATTTGCACTAACTGACATTTCTTTGGAGCCAGTGCTTCAGGAACATCTCACCCCTAAATTGAGCCAGACTCATGCTGGCCTCTGCCTCATGATGGAGTGTGGGCAATGAGTACTGGCCTCCATAAGATACTCCCTCCAGTGTCCTTCCTTCCTGGCCAAACAGTATCTAGAACTGAAGACGGCTGGGTCTTCGGATGGTTCAGGGAGAGGATGGTTGTACTTGCAAGGCTTTTGTTTTTACCTGTCAACCACCAGGCCACTCTCGTAGGGTTTGAGGTTATAGATTGCCAAATGGACAGAAATGCCGTGATTCTGCAATGTTTACAACTGTTTCTGTGTCTCCCCAGGAAATTCTAAAGGAGAATTTAAGGATGTTTGAATTAGTTCAGAAGCATCCATCGCACTGGCCTCCCTTTGTACCTCCAACCAAGCCAGAAGTGACAACCACTGGGGCAGGTAAGCTGTTGTTCAGGGGCTTTCAGCCAGCAGACCCATGTGTAGCAATTGTTTTATGAGACCGAAGGAATGTGGCTCATGCTTTCTGTGGAAGTTAAAATTTCAACTCAGGTGGACTGATCAAAAAATGGTGCTTCTGGTTATTTGAATCTTCTCATGAGCCGATATTTACCAATTTCAAAGAATGATAAAAAGATGAGCTCATTGCAAAAGTTCTATGCAAAATCAAGACGACTAGAATTGTTTTTAGAATTCTTTTTTCATGATCTTGCTCAGAATAACAAATTAAGGCCATGCGTGGTTCAAAGGTACCTCAAAGGGCTTGCGGAGTCTTGGCCATATCACTGTGATTAGGCCTGTTTAACAAGTCTGGTTATTTTGAGTCATTATAGAGAATTTCTAATACTTGGCAGTGGTCTTAACTGTAAGTCTCCTCCAGACAAGCCTTTCTTTATCAAAGTGATTTAAAAATGTGTAGTTTTAATGACTGAGGAATGTATCGATTGACCACTTCAATCCATGTGTCAAGCTTTTCTTCTTTCTCACTTCTGTATTCTGATAGAATTCATTGACTCTACCGAACAACTGGAGGAGTTTGACCTGGAGGAAGATTTTGAGATTCTGAGTGTATAGAATACCAGGAACTCAACCTGGAGGTCTGTCTTCCATCTGGCACCATAAGAACATGAACTTCTTACATAAAACTTTTCTAGTCAGCAAGTGCCTGATATGCCAACAGCATACAAACTCAACAGCAATCATGACTGAGCCAATCACCATTTCTCAGAAAAAAAACAAAACACACAGCAACAACCCTTTCCCAGAATGAAATAAAACAATCATGGAGCCTAGGAGCAGAAAGATTAGGAGCAGTCCGTTGCTTCCTGGCGGCTACGGCAAGTTTTCAGCTGCTGGAATGAGCTGGACATCTGGAAGACAGCAACTCCCATCTTGCTTCAAGCGCCAGCAGATGAGAGATGGTTACGCTGCGCTTCTGCACCCTTTCAGGTGTGACCCCTTGTAGGCTAAATACTAAGCAGCAGTCTGTTCTCTTGCTCAAAGAATAAAGTGACTGAATCAGGGAGGAAAAAGTTCTTGTTAAATTATTTGAATATGTATTTTAAAATAATTATAATTTATATCAAAGCATTTGTCAAAGAAATGATGTAAAATGTACACTTCTTGATCTCCTTCCTATTTGGGGGAAACTTACTATTTGATGGGTCACTGTCCCCATTCTTACTGATACTTTTGTCAGATGTCACCCTGTCCTTAAATCAAATCATGATCGCTTGAATCAGGGGTCAGCAGACTTTTTCTGTAAAGGGCCAGATAGTAAATATTTTAGGCTTTGCAGGCCACGCGGCCTCTGTCACAACTACTCAACTCTGCTGTTGAAGCGCCAAAGCAGCCATAGACAATATGCACGCAAATGAGCATGGCTGTAATCCAATAAAACTTTATTTACAAAAACAGGTGGAAGGCTGGATTTGGCCTGCAGGCTGTAGCTTGCCGATCACTGACTTAAATTGTTGATTTTTGTTTGAGAAATTAAAAATAAATTGTGTTTGAATTATACTGTTTTGGTTGACAGAGCCATACGTAGAAAGAATTATTCATGTGGTGAATTACACATTTAATCTGTGCATCAAATACAATTCCAGATCATTTCAGAACTAGCAACATACTAAGTTTGAAAGTACAAATTCATCAAATTAGCTTTGCTAACCACGCTCTTGTAAGGATATGCCTCAAGTCCCAACAATACCTTCCCATCTTCCTTTCCTTGTCCTTTTAACTTGTCTTCATTCTACTCCCATCCTTAACTGACTCCCAAGGAAAGCCAGCAATTGGGATTTGGAAGCTAGCACCAAACCTATTCACTTAGTTTCCTGAGATTCCATGTTTTTCTTTTTTTTTTTCCAGCAGGTAATATATTCCAGTGGTTTAAAATTCAAAAGATGCAAAATGGTATTCAGTGAAATGTTTCTCCCTCCCATAGGTTAGTTCCTATCCCTGAAAGCTTCCAATGTTATTTCTTGTTTATCCTTCCAGAGTATATATTTTATGCATATATAAATATATGCACACACACATTATAGAGAGAGCAAGCACACGCACTTAGATTTGATTTTAATGACTTTAACATTTCTCTACTTTTGATTTATCTGTAAATGATCCCGAGGCCACAGAAGTATGGAAAATTTCTTTCTTGAACCCTACCATATCATGGGAATAAAAGCAAGCGTAGGCTTATCTTGAAACAGGCTGGGGGTTTGTTGACCATTAGGGGACTCCTTTGGCCCTTTGACTTTGATCATCATGTACTTTTTTCCTACCTCAGTGTTTTGTTATAGAGCTCGACTTGCAGTAACAGGAATCCCCAAGGCTCTGAGGGGGACTCATAAATTGTTGTGATATGGACACTAGAAAAGTTTTCATCAAAGAATGTCAAGAGAGTCAAATGTTCATATTTATTTTATTTGCTATGTACAAAGCTGACACTGTGCTTATTACTTAGCTAGGAGGTGAAGATAATAACTCAGATTACACTGGTTATGCTTTGTCTGTGTTGGCACAGTTTACATAATACTTAAGGATACAGAATCACCTGGAAGGAACTGCCTCATGTCAACCTAGCTGCGTTCTGGGGAACTGGTAATTAAAGAAAATGTCTCAAACAAATCCCCCCAAACAGAATACAATGTACTTTATAGCCAACTTAGGCTTGCTTTAGCTCTGCTAACTGCTCAAGAGAGGAGTGTGCTAAATTTTTATGAGGTTTTAAAAACATATTAAAATAGTTTAACAGGCTACCTGTGAAAGAGCAGTTGGATGACCACTTTAACAGAAAGTCTCTAACAGCCTCAGAATGCAAAGGAACCAACACACTGCAGCTTTACTTTGCCACATTGCACACATCTGGATGGCATTTGGAATAAACAGGGCCTTCAGAGAAGTCAGGACATGGAATTTACCTTTTTGTTCCTGGAGTCAAAAGCAAAATTCACACCTCCCTACCCATCCTCCCCTCTACCCCCGGCCCAGGAAAAAGGGCTGTGGTTCTCATTTCCTTTCATGGGCTTGGCCACATTTGTTGCATCCTCTGCTGTACTTTGGACCAGGCCAAGTCCTCTGTCTCTGGCTGGGGAGGGTGCCCGCAAGGAGGAAGTGATTTTTCTAGGACTGTGTGATGTCAATGAGGCCCTCTCACCTGCTGGCCCTCAAGCCTCCCTAAACGATGTGGAGCCCAGTCTTGCTCACTCTGGAAGGAGTCAAAGCTCATTCTGGGCTACTGGCTAGCACCTCGTTCCAGTTCCGTTGCCTGCCTAGACACAATGGGCCTCCTTGGAGAGTGAGGGCTCGTCCTAGGCAGACTTGAGCCATCCATGAATGTTCAGCAAGAGATTTTTCTTTTTAATGTGGAAACACCGGGTTTTGGTTTAAGCTAAATAACATGCAGTGACCCCTGGACATGAAGAAATGACTCATTAGCCATTATGAAGAGCTTTCTGACCGAGACAGTGAGGAACTAGAGACCCAGAAAATCTTTCTGAGGTAGCCACAAATAGTCACACGAACATCCAAATCCAATGGTAGCACCAGGTCGAGTGAAATGGGCCAGCAGAAGTGAGCAGGGTGGGCTCATCTATTGGGCCTGAGGGTTTGGGTGACCAGTGTCCAGCAGTCCAGCCCAAGTGAGACTCCAATGTACAGCTTGACAGGGCTCTGGTCTTCCTCTTCAGACCATTCAGGCTTGTGAGGTGACTGTTGTGAGCGGGAGGGGAGGGCAAGGGGCAGAGTGGCGGGCGCCGCCCTACAGGCTTTTCATACACACCTGGCAGCGGCTGACCCGGGTGTGGAGCTGCCCGGCTTTCAGCGTTTCAGACACGGGCTCCTCCCCAAACTGCTGCCTCTCCTCCACCGTCGTCAGCCAGAAACTGTACTTGTTGGCAAAGTAATGGCAGGTGCCTCGGGCACCACTGCACTCGATGAAAGGAGTGGCCCGAAAGTCCTCCAGGCAGGAGCCAGGCGAGACCAAGGACTGGCCCCCGCCCTCGGCACCGGCAGCAGTGTGCTGAAACAGACAGGGCCATGTGTGAGCTGCGCCTGCCGGGGGTTGGCACGGGCAGGTGACAGGTGCTCTGCTCCTATGGGAGGGCACGTGTGCTCCGTCCCCAAGCCCTGGTCCCTTGGCTCGGCTCCAGCTTCCAGCCAGCATACCACGAGCTGTGTTTTAGGGGTAGGGGCTGTTCATCCTCCCTCGTAGCAGCCTCCAGGGCCAAGAATGCCCCCTCCAAGCTCCCTAGCGACCTCCTATTCCAACCCGCGTTTCCCAAAGTGCCGCTGTCCCACTGAGTTCAGAGGTGTGTTAGGTGCCCCCTCCCCAATTTCCATGGCCAAATGAATCTGAGAAAGGCCAAAGTAAGGAAAATGCAGTAGGTTTGTGGACTGTAGTTCTCAGAGGTCTCTGTCTACTGTGCATGGTACTCTAAGAAGGGAAAGGGCATGCAATATTCCACACACGGGTTCCACCATGGCCCCCCGTCTCCAGTGTTATCTGTCGCTAGCTCTTACTTTGAAGTTACCTTTATTAGAACGACTTATATTTTCAATCTGTGCCATACCCTTTAGGGTGACATGTAGTGTTCATTACCTGCTGAATAAAAGTGGGTCTCATTGGCCTAAACGTCCTGGCTGTCACTTCAGAGGGCTCCCGCAGCATTCAGTCTTAGGGCTACTGTGAGCTGCTAGTCTCCAGTCACTGTACTCACGGACAGCAGCCCCCGTCTGTCCACGCCACCCTCCCTTCACCTTAGCTGGGTCATCATCGGGACCACAGGAGGTGGGGAAGAGGCCTGAGACACATCCGAGTCAGCAAATGGCCAACGGAACAAATGCCCAAGTTGGGCACACAGGGACCCGTTACTTTGCAGAACTTTAAGAGAAGGAGAGTCTCCATGTGACCTTTCAAGTGGCCTTTCCTGATAACTGAAGCATCAAGGTTTCCCTCACTTTGACCCTGAGAATCAAAAACTTCCTAAAACACATGACGCATGTTCCTGCTTTACTAAGTAGCAGATGTTGTACATTTTTAACTTTGCAGATGACGCTGGTCTTGTCATTGTCAATGTCAGTTTTGTGTGAGGCGATTATGCAAGAGCCCCATACCAAGGGGTGCAGCTTGCAGAATGATTGGGCCTCCCTCGAATCATTTTCTCCCTCTTTTCTCCTGTTTAGTAGGCATGTTTCATTGCTTCAAGATGCCTTACTAGGCAGTCCAAATTCTCACCCTTACACATTTTCAGGAAAAAAATATTCTAGTATGTTATAATTTTGTGTAGAGTAAAGACATTCTGAATAACGACTAAGAACTCTCCATGAGCAAAGCACGTGAGATTTTTTTTGTACACAGCCTTCCTACCATTTCTTATAGAAACTTGTGGGTCTTTTCTCCTCATTTCCTGGTCTGGGTGGTGGACAGGACAGAATGACAGGTGAGGTGATTCTGAATGACACTGGGATAACCTGCCCAGTGCGCAAAGACAGAGAATAACAAGGAAGTACCTTTCCCTGGGTAGGTACACTCATGTGAGGGAGCCTGCAGCCTTGGGAATTCTTGAAAGACACTCTGTCACCATCTCACCCTGACAATTCAGCAGACAAGCTCTGGCGAGGCAAGGTACTTCACTGGGTGCCACAGTGGTTTTCCCTGGGCATTGTCCTGGCCCTAAACCTGACCTTTCATCTGATGAAATGGCCTGAGGTATTCACGAGCTCTCATGGGAGGGACTCGATGCCTCCTTGGGTTACAGCGTGGCTGGCCACTGCCTTCCCATGGAAATGGAGAGGCAGCAAAAATGCCAGCCAGAATGTAAAAAGATAGCATGCTCTCATCCGAGCCTTTCGGGAGGAGATGGCAGTGGCCAGAGGGGTCTGGGAGGGTGGGGAGAAGAGGCAGTGCCATGGCTGGCCTGACCAGGGAGAGTGTGTCCTGGCCCTGAGTAGGGACAGCCTCTCCCTTGCTGTCCCCCCCCCCATCATAGTGTGTTTTGTCCTTCGCTTGGTTGTGGCATAACTGACGCAGGCATACAGATGATAGGGCCTTGGCCTGTGATTCATAGGTATTCTCACCCTGAACCACTGGGTGCAAATTGCTGTCTTCCCCCCACGCCCATAACTACCCATTTTTCACACAGAATAGGGCTGTCTGGTCTTTAGCCAAGCCCAGACCAAGCATTTTCTCTCCTTTCAAACTCTGTGCTTTCTCCCTAGTGTCCCTTGAGCCCAGGAACCAGTCCAAGAGGCCCTCCCAGAGCTCCCCCACCCCGCCTCTATACGCAGGAGGGGGCAGTGCGGAGCCTTACCATGAGGAAGGAGTACCCAATCCAGAGGCTGCGCCAGCCCAGGGGGCACTGTGGGATGGTGATGTCCTGGCTGTGCACAGCAATGGCCTGTGAGGGCGCCTCGCACACAGAGCAGCGGCTGATGTACTGGGGAATCTGGGCCTGGCCGACGGGCATCATGGGGATGGGGGCAGTGGTGGAGAGCCAGTAGGATTTATCGTTGCGCCTGGCATAGTGGCACACTTCGTTGATGTTGCAGTAGATGAAGGGCATGGTGCTGAAGCGGGGTAGGCAGGAGCCAGCAAACCCTGGAAGGAGAGACGGTGGGCAAGGGCAGGTGAGGCCTGGCTGAGGGGCAAGGCGCCAGGAACCGACTTCGATGGTGGTTTGAGTTTACATGCAACCGTTTGTACCAGACCAGGGCAGCCCCCTCCTTCAAGCCTGTAACATCGTAGACATGCTGAAGTTATGTCGATCAAATCCTATTTTAAATGCACCAGGGGAGTTTGATAATGACAAGAATCTTTTTATAAACTGAATAATTACTCCCTAATTAGTTTACTTTGTAAAACCAGCATTTAATTGGGTGGGTCTGCCTTTAAGAGTTAGCGGAACTACAGACAATACAATTAATTCTTGGGTAATCATCATTGCCCTGCAGATCATATTATTACTACTACTAATCACTAACATTGAATGGATGCTTAAATGCCAAACATTGTTCTAAGCGTTTTACATCGGGTGATTCATGTACTCCTTACGCTACCCTGTGTGATGACAGGTATTAGATTAGCTTTATTTGTTCCATTAAGGAGGAAGTAGAAGCTTAGAGAGGTTGAATAACTTGCCCAGGGTACACGGCTAGTAAGTGGTAGAGTCAGAATTGAACCCAGATCTGCCTGACTCCAGAGCTGGTGTTTGTAACCCATTACACAACAGTGGGCCCACCAAGGGCTGGGAGGAGAAAGGAGGTTGGCTGTTGGTCCTTGTGGGGACAGGTGGCTAGGGCTGGCTGTCAGAACCGATACCTACCCAGGTCCTGGTTGTGGGCTTTCTCCTGCCCCTCCACGAACAGCAAGCTGTAACCCACCCACAGCTGGCTCATCCCGACAGGACACAGGGGCACCTGTTCTGACTGGCTGTGCTTCACCAATGTGTAGCCCACTCTCACGCTCTGGCCAGGCATTCCGGGCCTCCCGAAGCGGCCTTGCTGCCCTGGAGCTCCTGAGAAGGAGAGTGCATAAAAGGTAAGCGTGGTGCATGCAGCTAATGGTAACATCAGCCACCCGCTTTGTGCCACGCACTGTGCAAAGCACATTATGTACATGCGCTATCTCACTCGGTCCTCATGGTGACCCCAATTTGTAGATGAAGACGCGGAGGCTCAGAAGTCCCATAGCTAGTAAGTGGTGGAGCTAGAACTCCAACTCGGCTGTATCCGGCTAGAGTCCCCATTTTTAAAAGTGCATTATCTGGTGTCCCTCCCACTGCCACCTGGCCTTGGCTTCTCTCTGAGTGGGGAAGAGGAGGTGGAGCAGGGCACTTCTGGGGTCCAGCCTTGCAGGTCCTCATAGGTGGTAACTAAGTATTAATAGCTGCTGAATCAGAGGCGCTGGAAGCAGAGTTAGGACTAGCAGGGCAAAATCTCGCCCTCCTCTCTTGCCCATGGCAGACATGGCTAATCAATCGCAACACTGTCCTACAGAGCCTCAGAACTGGTCTCTACTCAGGACAACTGATTCGCCATCCCTGATGTAAAATGGGAGGTAAATAGCAGAGGTACATGGGCAGCCACACCTTATCTCAAATGTTGTTAGCCCTTAGACTACCCCCTCCCATGCCTGCCAGGATCCCTGGGGAGACGAGGTGAGGTGCAAGGCAGAGGGCTGTGCTGTAGTATAGTATAGAGTCAGAGCTCTTAGGAGCTGGAAGAGATCGAGAAAAGGATTTGGAAGAGTCCTTTGCCTTCTGGAATGTAGGGCATTCCTTCCCAGGCTTGGAGGGTGGTAGGGAGTGAATGGCTCAGTTTTTGAGCCGCCTAGTAGTGTCAGGCTCTACTGCCAGGTTTACTAAGTCTCTGATTTGGTTTTTTTTTTTCTTTTTTTAACTCCTACTCTAGCCTCAAACCCTCACAGAAGCTTTCTGCCCCCTAATGTCACATCACCACACCTTCAAATCCTGGAGGGCCTTGCAGTCCGGGGAGACCAGGATCGCCAAGAGCCCCAGGCAGGCCAGGGAGCCCGCTGGGACCATCTTTGCCTGGGATGCCAGGTAAACCTTTGGGGCCTGCAGGAGAGAAAGCCCACAGCGGGTAATCAAAGTAGAGGGTCCCGAGGCGCCTTCCCTGGGAAAGGGGAGTTGTATGTCATGCCCAAGACTCGCCAGGAGAGGGCACACCGTTCATCAGGGCAGCAGCCTGCCTGGGGTAGTCAGTTCACAGGGGCCTTTCTGAGCCCCTTCGCACTCACTTCCTCCTCCTTCCCTCTCATCCTCCAGCAATGCTGAGCAGTACGCAGGGCAACTGCTGCTGTCCCATATCAGAAATGAGGACACTGCTCCAGTTGGGGCAAAGCCGGGATTAGAAGCCAGGTTTCCTATCCCCCGGGCCTGGGCTTTCGCCAGTGCCTAGTGTGGCCACTTATCCACCACCACACTCCCTCCATCTCTCTGCAGCACTTTAGACAGGGACGGGCAGTCCAGAGCAGCGGCCCTGCTCTGCCCACGCATTCTCTAAAGCCTCCTCACCTCGTAGGCCCACAGGGCCTAGAACCCCAGGGTCCCCTGTGAGGCCAGGAATGCCATCGATGCCTGGTAGACCCAAGGGTCCAGGAGGAACCTGGACAGCTTCTGCAATTGGTGTTTTTCCAGGAGCACCTCGGGGGCCAGAAAAGCCTGTGGGCAGGTGGGGGAAATGGGAATGTCAGGCCGAGTCAGAAGAGGCCAGGGTGGGGCCCTGGGAACCTTCATTTCTGTCTTGTAATCACTAGCTTCATGCCCTTTCTGTTTGTCCCCCTAGATCCCTCCAGGATGGCTCTCGCCACCCAATGTCCATCTATGTCCCCAGTGTCTTGTTAACTCTTTGAGGGCAGGGACTGGGTCATATTCATCCTCTCTCTTGAGGGCCCAGTAGGTGGCAGGTAGTCAGGAAATATTTGTTGCCAATATGGTGGGCTGAGCCTTTGCTCAGGGACAGGGTGGTTGGTTTCCTCAATCGCTGATCAGAACACAGTGACAAGGAGGCTGAGGGGATGTGCCCAACCCCAGAGGTTCAGTTGGAATCACAGCCTAGGAGCCCAACCCCAGCTAGCTGCCTTACTAACAGTACACTTTGCTTACTAAGTCATTGGACAAGTAGTTCTCGAGGGCTTATTATGTGGCTGGTAGATCGGGGGACAGAGCAGTAAATAAGACCTTTATGAAGATTATGGTAAACATGAACATGCATAAATACCATTAATCTCAGGGCAAGTTGTGAGAAGTATTATGGAAGAAGAGAATACTGTAGTGACAGTGGGAGGGAGAAGGTGATATGGGGTGGAGGAATCTGCTTTAGAGAGAAAGAAATCAGTGGCCTTTCATATAAGCAGTGACATTTAAACTGAGACCATTAAAACATTAGAAGGAATTAGCCATTTGAAGAGTAGCAGGGCAAGCACACTTCAGGAAGTAGAGCTGGCATGTGCAAAGGCCCTGTGGTAGCCCAGGACTTGGTGTTTTTGGATAACTGCAAGAGGCCCGGGTGGCAGGGGCACAGTGAGCAGTAAGGGGAAAGGCTGCCGATAGGGATGAAGAGGGAGGTGTCACAAAGGGCTTTTGGGGCCACAGTTAGTTTATTCCTATCCCATGGGAAACCACTAGATGATTTATTTTTATAGGATTTCTCTGGGCCCTGTGTGGAAAAATGATTGTTGGGGTGGGGGAGGAAGGGCGCTGCATGAGAAATGGAGCCCTGGATGTGAGGGTAGTGGTGGAGGTGAGGTGAGGTGAGCAGATGCAAAGCACGCTTAGAAGGTACGACCCTCAGGGCTTGCTAATGTTGCCTGTGAGTGGGAGTGGGGGCAGCAAAGGATGGGAAGGATGGTTCCTTATTTCTGGATTGAGCGGATGGGTGGGTGGATGATCTGAGTGCAAACCCAATGCCCATTAATGCATAAGTAAAGCAGAGAGAGGAGGGCAGTGGCAGGATTCGTGGTGGCAGCAGTGGCCTTCAGTCCTGGGAGCTGATGGAGGCAGAAGTATCCCCAAAGTGGAGAGACTACCTCCCCGGAGGAGCTCGATCCAGCTGTTTCAGGCATCCAGGCTTTCTTGGTGTGGTGAGCCGTGAGTCCTGAAGGAACCTTACCCTAGGCCCCTTCCTCAAGTGCAGGATCAGCCCAGCCCGTGCTCTCAACTTACCTCTTGGCCCCGCCTTCCCCTTCATTCCGGGAAATCCTGGGTCTCCAGGTGGCCCAGCCTTGCCTGGAGTCCCCATGAAGCCAGGCTCACCTCTCGTGCCTGACAAAGTCCAAAGGAAGCAAGTCAGGCCCTGGCCTGGGAGGGGTGTGGGGAGGTAGAGACTAGGCAGGGGTGAGGTAGGGAAGAGCATTATCCACAGGGCTGCAGGAAGGGGCCATCTCTGACGGTGGAGTGGGGAAGGGCTGGGCAGCCAGCCGAGCAGCCATACCTTTCAGTCCTAGCTCTCCAGGGAGGCCAGAGAAACCTGGAACTCCTTGGTCTCCCTTGGGCCCTAGAGGGCCAGAAATTCCAGGGACGCCAGGGTCTCCGGGGTCACCTTGATCCGAGGATGGCCCAGGGGGACCTGGGGGCCCAGGGAGGCCTGGGCGGCCTACAGATAAGATTGGAAGAGGGATGAGGAGAACGTGAGCAGGAAGTGGTCACTGCTGAAAGCCTAGGCCTAGGCACTGATAGGAAGCCAAAGCCCTTTCCCAGGACAGAGCGTTTCCTCGCTGTCTGCAGGGTCCCAGTGCCCACACTTTCCCAAACCCTTTCAGCAAAATGCAGCCAATTCCAGTCCTCTGTGTCCTGGCTGGAGGTAATGATGTGTGGCCAAGCAGGCCCATGCATGCTTCGCAGTACACAGGACCTCCCCAAACGCCAGGTAAAGGGCAGCGGCCAGTCCTCCTCATGGCTTCCTGTCTTTACCTCGTTCTCCATCTAGGCCTGGTCGCCCGGGGTCACCAGGCTGTCCTGCTATGACTGAGGGCAAGGAGATGCCTGGGGCACCAGGGAGACCAGCAGGGCCTTGGAGACCTGGGAAACCTGCAAAGAATAAATAAAAGGGGCTAGATGGGCCCAGCAGAGGGCCAGGCTCTGTCAGAGAAAATGGAAGTTCACAAGGAGAAAATGGAAGCAGTCAGGTAGGCGCCAGACCAGAGACCGCCAGCAGAGGGCTCTTCTCCTCTCATCCTATCTTCCCGGCAAGCAAACACAAAGGACAGGGCTCAGAGAGACTCGCTCTTTCCAGCTGGAGCTGCATTTTATTGGGATAGAGCTGTGGAAAGTTCTAGCCCCCCAACTTTACTGCTAATGGAAATATTTTAGGCCAATTTCCCCAAAATCAGAAAGAAAAGAAGGCATGATTGAATACCTAGAAATTAAGTTTCCCAAGTGTTTTTAAACCTACTGTCTCTGTCAAACAACATTTCCTAAGTTAGCCGGTCTGTGTGATGCGGTGCAAGGGTTACAGACAGAGACAGGCCGCAGGCCCCAGCCAGTCAGAACAGATGCCGCCGATCAGAATGGAGGCCACAACAGTGCCGTCCCTTCCCGTGTCTTCTAGGGCTACCTTCTGGGGCATCTAGGCCAACTGGAAAATGATCTTTTATAGGTAACTCATGCTATTAGCCAAGTGATTGCCTAATTGCCTATAGAACAAATATGTCTGTACTAAATCCCTCCCCTGTTTTTGGCCAAAGAGAATAGTCATTTATTAGAGTAGATAAAGAATACTCGTTTGCTCAAATTTTAGTACTACTTTACAGGATTTCTCTTTGTGGAATGAATTCTATTATAATATGTTCGAAACCCAAACTTTGATCTAATTACAAAAGATTTATTTAATGTTCTGTCACATACACAGATGGTAATCTTGATGGGAAAACACATCAAAGCTATACATACAAATACAGACGTTCATATTATACACGTAGCATGGAAGAAATGTATTTCTTTGGCATATTCTAGAAGATATTCAAATGAAGACAGATTCAAGCTGGTTGATAAACTGTTCTCGTGGTTGAGCTTCTTATTTTTTTTTGTTTGTTTGTGACAAGAAAGTCCAAAAATGTTAATGCTGAATTTCTCACATTAACCTAAAAATATAGTAAATCCATGAAAACTTGTGAAAAGAAAGATGGTAGATTAATTCAGGTGTTTTTAAATAGAGAATTAATGAATTGAATCCTGAGGAAATCTAAGGAAGGAAAAATGAAATTTTGAGGAAAATCTCTCAATTATTTTAGGTTTGAAAAATTTTAAAAAATACAAAAAGAAAAACTAGTTGCAAAGCCACATTGGTGTTACTTGTGGCATTATCAGTTATGTCTTGGTGAACCTTTTTTTTTTTTTTTTTTTTTTGAGACAGAGTCTCACTGTTTTGCCCGGGGTAGAGTGCCGTGGCGTCAGCCTAGCTCACAGCAACCTCAAACTCCTGGGCTCAAGCAATCCTCCTGCCTCAGCCTCCCGAGTAGCTGGGACTACAGGCATGTGCCACCATGCCCGGCTAATTTTTTCTATATATTTTTAGTTGTCCAATTAATTTCTTTCTATTTTTAGTAGAGACGGGGTCTCGCTCTTGCTCAGGCTGGTTTCAAACTGAGCTCAAACAATCCGCCCGCCTCGGCCTCCCAGAAAGCTAGAATTGCAGGCGTGAGCCACCGCGCCCGGCCCTTGGTGAACCTTTGAAATATTTTTCTTTTTCCCCCGAGGTGAAAATCTGAAAAGAAAGACATATTGTATGTAGTTTTTTTCCTGAAAAGATAGCTTTATGTATATATATGTGTGTATATATATATATATATAGCTTATATATATAAGCTGAAATTATGCAAAACTAATAAACAAGACACCACACATCCACATATAATAGAGTAGGTGTGGGCAGCACACAGATTATAAAAGTTTCCATGGCAGTTTTTGTGAGCCTCCTCTTCTCTTTACCTGTTTCTTGATTTTATAATTACACCAATATGTGAGTATTATCAAATCGGAAAGAAGGCACTACTGAGCTCAAGTTGTGCTAAAATCTCATGTATTTCTTTGATTAAAAATAAAACACTTTAAATGAGCAGATGAAAATGCAAAATAGTCTATTTTTCTAACTCATTTCAGTGTCAAAGTCTTAAAAAAAAAACAAAACTAAATATACAAGCTGGGTGTGGTGGCTCAGGCCTGTAATCCCAGCACTTTGAGAGGCCAAGGCAGGAGGATCGCTTGAGGCCAGGAGTTTGAGACCAGCCTGGGCAACATAGCAAGACCCTATCTCTATAAAAATATGAAAGAATTAGCCAGGCATGGTAGTGTGTGCCTGTAGTCATAACTACTCAGGAGGCTGAGGCAGGAGGATTGCTTAGCTCAGGAGTTTGAGGCTGCAATGAGCTATGATTGAGCAACTGCACTCCAGCCTGGGCAACAGAGCAAGACCCTGTCTCAAAACAAACTAAATATACAAATGCAGCCTCTAAATATTTAGTGTAAATATGAAAACGGATGGTGTAATTACAAGTCATTCAGATAAAGGTATTGTAAGGAGAAAGATTCTATAAAGTTTTCTTAGGGGTAAATTTTCATTTTGTATTGACTTCCATTATCAAATCTAAGATAGGTTCCTGTGGGGGGGGATACGGCAAAGAAATTGTTTTAATTAGATATTGAGAGGATACAATAGAATATTTACAATAATTTATAAAGAACAATCCAGATACAACACCTGTGTTTCAATCACCCAATTTAAGGAAAAGAAGATAGTACTACCTTTCCATTTCTCTGTGTGTCCTCCACAGATTCCACCACCTTTCCTCCCTCTCAGAGGCCACTACTCCTGAATTTTGGGTTCATCAGCCCCTTCCTTTTCATCACAGTTTGACCATGTATATTTGTACCCCTAAACAATACATTGGTTGTGTTTGCTTAGTTTCTGAATGTTTATCAGTGGACTCATACCAAATGTGTTCCTCTGTGACATGGTTTATTTGCTCAGCATTATGTTCCTGAAATGGATCCATCTCGACATGTGCTGTTTACTACATTTATAATTGTGTTTTTATTACCCCAGATAGATAAAGGAGATGAATAATTTAATGACCAGTCAAGGTTTGAAAACCACAGGAAATGCCCCTGTTCTTCTCTCCAGTCCCCTCTTTCCCTATGTCCTATGAAAAAATCCACAGTCTTTCTGCAGACTGGGACCCTGCTTTGAACCCTTCCCTTCGAGAAGCTGCTGGCTTTCAGAAAAGAACAGGTTGGTGCAGACCAAAGGAAAGAGTAAACACAGAAACAGCAGATGCATCAATTCAAAGTGCAGCAGGAAAAATTAATACACGAATATGTTCCTGAAAAACATACGTACATTATACAAACATGCACGTAAATAAAGTGTGGTGAGATCTCAGGCCCGAGAGTGATGAGGATCAGAACATTTTGCAAATATGATTTCCCCAGGTAACATGTAATAACATAATAGCCAACATTTTTTGAGCACCTACTATGTGCCAGGCACTGAGCTTTTATATACATTACCTCACTCCTCATTGATTCCTCAAAACACCTATGAGGTAGGTTCTATTATTATGCCCATTTTATGGAAAAGAAAAACTAAGGGTTCATTTGAGATTGAGGGACAAGTAACTTCCTTGTTCAAAGTCATGTAGCTAGTGAGAAGTAGAGCTGGAAATTGAACCCATCTGGACTGACTTCAGAGCCCTTACTCTTAACCATGATGCTACACTGAATTCATTTCCTGGTTCACATTGAGTGGGATATATATATGGGTCCTCAGAACATTCCTAAGGGAAGTTGAGGAATGAAAATCCATTCTCACTTTTTGAGAAGTGGGATAATGGAGGCTCAGAAAGGGACTTCAGGCCGTGTGATGAATTGGGGGCCGAGATTAGGGTAGAACCTGCTTTCCAGTAAACCCAACAAATTCTAATTAAGTGCATGCTGTGGTCCTGTCGTGGGGAGACGTTTATTTTCTTAGTTTCAGGCTTCTTCCAGTAGCCACACTCTTTTGCCAGGGCCGTGGGAGTGCCATCCACAGTGGACACTGAGAAAATTCCAGCCAACCTCTAAGGGCTAAGTGGATGAACCCTGACCCTCAGGAGCATCATACCCAGGTGCTGGCCAAGTGCACAAGAGAGGCCCTGAGGCTAAGAGGAGCGGGAGGGAGTCTGGAGGCTAGAGGGGAGTTGGTGAACTGCTCCCTGACACCCCCTCTCTTTCTCAGCAGTCATTCCCACTGGGTTCTGAGACTCCCAGAGACATGAAGACATACACAGCCCAAGCCTGTGTGCTCCATGGCCGTGATGAGCCCCAAACCTGGCTTCTCTAAGGCCTGACTTGGGCTCACTTACCTCGACCACCTTTTTGTCCCTTTAGACCCGGCTTCCCTGGAGTTCCGATACCAATTCCTGGAGAACCTTTGTCCCCTTTGGGTCCAGGCAGACCGGCAGGCCCAGGCACTCCGGTAATACTGGGTCCTAGGAGGACATGCAGTGGGAAGGGACAGAGCTCAGCCGAGCTCAGTTGCCTGGGGCCTGAGAGGCCTGCTCACCACAAGAGGCAGAGTACTGAAGTAATAGGAAGGGGAGCTGATTTGGATAGAAGGACAAACCCCATCCTCTTTCCTCCCTGTATCAAGAGATCTCAAATTGGAGGCCGATAAGGAGATCCATGAGTCCAAGGATATGGGATATACCACAGTCAAGAATTCATGGCCAGCCCCTGCCAGGCTTCCGGGAGACCTGGTGCCCCAGGTAAGTGAGCCCTCCTCCTCACCTCTGAGGGTCTTCCTTACCTGGAGTGCCATGGGTGCCCTTAGTGCCTGGAAGCCCATTGAGTCCATGCAAACCAGGAAATCCAGGAAAGCCTGAGATGAAGGGAGAGAACATCACAAATGGCTCTAGCAACTCTGAATCAGGAAGGATCAGCACGAGGTAGCTACCTGCCCCCAGAGCATTGCAAGGTCCTCATTTTAAAGTCCTGGTCTTTCTTGAGGCATTACTCAATGCTCTAAGGGAGAACAGACCCCCCCTAACCTACACCCTACACTCTAGGTTCTCATGACTCTTATCAGAGACCAATACAGCTTTAAGGGTAGGATGTTAGCTAATTAGGTAACTTCAAGAAGAACTCAGAGTGGCAATGCCAAAACCTTGAGTTGCCAGCTCCTAGAGACTGGTTCTAGAAACTCGCTTCCCAATCTCTAAGTCAGGCAAAGGCTACATATGCCAGGGCAGTGACCTTCCTTGCTGACTCTTTGCTCCGTGGATAGTTCTCTTCTCATTCACGCTTGCCTGCCTTCATTCCTCTTCATCTTTCTTTCTCGCTATTGTTCATATGGCCCAGTGACTCCCCTGGGCCTGGCTTAACCCTAGATAGTATCTTCAGAGATAAAGTAGTTACTGTGGTTTATTGAGGGAAGGAAACTCTTCCTCACTGCCTGTTCCAAATATACATACCTTTGGGTCCTATTAAGCCAGGTAGTCCTAGGGGCCCAGTTACCCCTGCATGACCAGAGGAACCTGGAAGTCCTGGTTCTCCTCTCACACCTGCAATCCCGGGAAGTCCTGAATGTAAAACCAAGGCAGAAGTTCAGAATGGGACATGGCTTGAAGCTAATCGTAAGTCTTTCAGAATAAAGCTATTATGTGGCATGGTACCTGGGGAGCCAGGGAGGCCAACATCTCCAGAAATACCAATTTTCCCATCTTCACCTTTCTTTCCTGGGAAACCCACATCACCAGCTAGTCCGTCTTTTCCTTTTGCACCTGCAAAATAAATAAAAAAAAGTGCTGAGTGATGAGGCCACATTTCCAGCAGTGTGTTCCTCCATGGGAAAGGGAGGATTTTGAAATGCTGAGGGAGCTAGATCCAATGAAGAAACTCTGAAAAAGACAGTGGCAGCTGTCTTTACATTTGGCATGTGCCATCAAATTGAGAAGTAAGTAAACTTGTTCTTAGTGTCCCGCAGAAGTGGGGAAAATGGGTGGAAATGTTCAAGAAGCACAGTCTAGATAACAATCTATAAACTTAAGGGGTGGATGCCATTATCTCCAAGGTCTTTGCCAGCCTACGAGTCTTTTTTTTTTTTTTTTTTTTGAGACAGAGTCTCACTCTGTTGCCCTGGCTAGAGTGAGTGCAGCCTACGAGTCTTGAAGGAATAATAGGCTGGTTTGCTTGGAAACCTGTAGGAAGGAATTTTTCTGCACTGGATGGAAGTTGCAGAACTTGAGTCCCTTCAAAATTCTTTCCAATCCTCAGTTTTGAGAAGTCTATGAGGCACATGAGACAAAAATACTGTAGCCTTACCTTTAAATCCAGAGTCTCCACGTTGTCCCTTGGGTCCTGGGCTACCAGAAATTTCAAGCACTTGGCCTTGATCTCCTGGGGATACCAAGCCATTGTTTAAATGGTCAGGAGAAGCTATGGCTCATTTTGCACCAACAAGATCGTTTGAACACAAAATTGTTTTCAGATTCAAAGTAGCCAGAGGAGCTCCTTGGCAAAATTATCCACTGGATAAACGGTGGCCAATCACTATCCAGGAGCTGGGATGCTACCAGGCTACTGGCATGAAATGCTGCTACATACAGCATATCTCCATTGGGAAACACATCGCTTGGCTCGATATGAGCAGAGAAGATGGTAGGCATGGCCCTAAAACATCATCAGAATGGAAGAGTGATGCCAGCAAAGAAGGGAATTTTTCCTGCTTAGAGGGCTGGGTTCATCAGGGGTAAAGACTATAGCTAAGGTTCTCCTCTTCTGCTGAGTCTGGAAGGCAGATGGGTCAAATCACAAAGCCAAGGGACAGCCTTTTCCTTGGCTCCATGAAAGCCTGGGAGAGAGATCTTGGTAGGTACCACTGCTTGTTGCATTGTCTTTGAGGAACAAGGACAGCCAAGGAGATTTTGCCAAAGTGAAAATGTACATCAATTTACTTTCCCCTAAACATAGAATCCTGCCCTCCCCCAAGAGAGCCCTGGGCCTCCTAGAAATTCATCTTGCTCTAGGAAAACATATTAAAAGAGAAAATGGCTTACCTTTTAAGCCTGGGAGACCAGATGGTCCTGGGAATCCACGAGCTCCACTGAGACCCTGTGAACCCTTCAATACAACATTGGAATCATTTCTGCCCAGAGCTCAGGGCTGCTCACCCTCTCATCCCCTCTCCTCACTGAGCCACTGCCTGAGAGATTTCTATCATGCACTCTGGGGCAGCGGTGGACAGTGGGTGGGTGGGGGGTACACCCTGCGAATGGGAAGGTGCTGAGCCAAGGGCAGAAGCGCATACTTAGGATTCGTAGGGGAAGGATTCCATCTGCAGATTAATCCTCATCTTGTCATTCACAACTTCCCACTGCCTATCAAAATTGGAATCTTGGGAAATCAAGGTGTGGCTGCTCTAGTGAGTCTCTTAAAAATACGGAAGATGGCAGTTAGGCCAGACACTCTATGTATTCCACAGACAGTCGGCTGCCACCACCCTTGCCAAAGCTCTGAAGCCATTATGCATAGGAACAAGTGTTGCTTCACTGTGCAGGGCTAGCCTTCTGCCACAGGTTCCTCAAGGAACACAAGGTCTTGCCTTGCCACCAGGTATCAGGTTGTGTGTGTGCAGGTGCTGGAGTCTGAATTTGGGTGAATGTTACCATTTTCGCAGGAAAAGCTGCCTTCACTGCACTGGCTAATGTCCAACACACTATCTGAGTCTGGGAAGTGGACATGTTAGCTGCCGTCAGAACCGTTCAACACCTGATATCTGGTATGGTTTTGATTCATTTTGAGAAGTACCCAGTACCCAGTAAAAACGTATGTCACTTAGTACTTTGGGCATGACATTGAGTACTGGGCTGGGTCACTGCGCTCACTGGACCACTACCCAGGACACCCCCTCCACTCTGCCTGCTTCCCTGCCTGGCTTCACCTGGCACACTGACATACCTTCTCCTAATTCTGAGCTCTGCTCACTCTGGGATGCCTACTGGAATGTTTTCCCAGTTTGTTTCCATCCCTCCTAGTGTAAGAGTAGTTAGGACTATCCAATCTAGGACTATTTATTTTGCAAAAGCCTTAGGGGAGAGAGAGAGAGAGAGAGAGAGAGAGAGAGAGAGAGAGAGAGAGAGAGAGAGTGTGTGTGTGTGTGTGTGTGTGGCTGTGTGTGTGTGTCAGAGAGAGATAGAGAGAGAGAGAAAGAGAGAGTGTATATGTATATGTGTGTGTGTTCTCTCCATCAGATGGGCTGATACTTTTGCCTGCAGGGAGCACAAGTGATCTGTGATTTAGTTCATTTAGACCCTTCGATACTGCTACTATTTATGCATAGCCTGTCATGTGCCAGACACAATGTTAAGTGATTTACATGTATCATCTCACTTAACCCTCACTACTGTCTGAAGGAGGTTTGAATATTATTCCCATTTTTCACTGATGAGGAAAGTGAGGTTCAGGGAAGTTAAACAGTATGCACAAGATCACAGAGCTGATGAGTGATAGAGCTGAGATTCAAATACAAGTCTGTCTCATTGCTAAGCCTCCTCCACCTCCCTGCCTTTTAAGAGCCCAGAGAAGCTGGACTTGATTCTCTGGTAGTTTTTGCCCCTTGTGGAGCTTCAAAGACCTTTCTATCAAAACATCAAGAAGTTTGTCCTGAATTCTTGCGATGTGCCAAACTCAATGTGGAATGCTGGCAGTAGGATGCAGACAAAAAAGCGTATAAGGCAGTTCTTGTTCTCAAGCCCTAACAATCTCACTGAGGAAGTCAGACCCACACAGAAGCAACTAGGATCAATGTCAGCAGTGCGACGTGCAGAGTGCCAGCACTGTGGGAGCTCAGGAACTCCTGGAGGAGATGGCGCCTGGGCTGGGGCCTGAAGGACAGGCAGGTATTGGGCAATTGCACAGGAGGGAGGAGGCTCTGCCACGTGGGGGAGACAACATGAACAAAGCAGGAGGGGATGTTTGGGAAAGGGTGGGAAGACCTGTCATACTCAAGGAGAGGGCTCTGCCGGAGGATGTCCTGGGGAAAGGGGCTGGGAAGTGGGCTGGAATCAGAAAAGTGGGCAGTAGAGGTGTGTCCTCCTGCTATGGGGCCCTTCTCTGGTGGAGAGATGAAGATCAGGACACACTTACACTTTCTCCTGGCATTCCTGGGAAACCTGTGATCCCCGGGGACCCCTTCAGGCCAGGTAAGCCCCGTAGTCCTGGGGAGCCAGGAAAGCCTGGCCTCCCAATAAGTCCTTTGATGGTGCTGGGGAAGCCAGGAGCTCCAGGCAGGCCTGGTAGCCCAGGGCGGCCAGCCTCTCCTTTGTCACCTGGGAAAAAAGAAAAAGGGCTTAGAAAAAGACTCTGGGCAAGAGAAAACCTGCTCGCCAAGATGCAGATGCCCTGGGTCACAGGCCAAGTGTGGGCTTAGGGGGCAGTTAGCACTGGGGTGGAGGTAAAGTGGGGGGAGATGCCTTCAGCCTTGTGGGGCATTGTCAGGGCCACCCCAGCCTGGCACCGGTAAAGCAGCTCAGTGTCCAGGCCCCACTATCTGCCAAGTTCCCCCAGGGATACCACGGCCTGTGGTTGAAAACCTCACTTCTACAGTGACAATGACAAATGGCAGTCTCAAAGTCCAGGCACTCAAAGTCCAGGAAGGCAGCCTCCTTGGACCTTACAGTGCTATTCAGGGTGGGGGTGGGGCTTGTACTTCAGGGTCTTTTCTCGGGAAGGAAGCTAAGTTTCGTTGCAAAACCTTTCTTGGGCATTTCTCCTGTCCATCGCCTGCCCCAGTACCTCTGGGCCCAGGAAATCCATCTGATCCGGCTGAGCCCTGAGAGCCTTTGTCTCCTTTGAGCCAAAGGTTCAGCATTGGAGGTCTTAGACTGGGCATTCCAACTGGCCCCGGTTTGCCTCTGTCTCCTGCAGGGATGGAGATCAGTGTGAGAAAGAGAGCTTAGACACAGGGTCAGGCAAAGGCTGACCTTTCATATCATTTCATCCCACACCACCCCCAGCCCTCTTTCTGGGCCCTTCTATCTTCTTCCCCACCTCCATTCCCCAAACTTTGCATTTCTGTGTATGCCCTTTACTTCTACAAACCCAAAGTCCACCAGCATCTTTAGACCCTACTCAAAACCCTCCTCCACTGATCATCTGGGAATGTATAGACAAGGCCTTTAACATGCAATGTTAACTCAGAAGGGATTAGGTCTTTTGGTTTAAAAGGACTTAATTCAGGAGCCCAGAATCTTACTATCTAACATAAGCTTGGTATAAACCATACTAATGACAAAGTCAACAAACAATATGTACATTGGGAAGCATGGGTGGCAATTCCAGAATTCCATTCCCCAGCTCACCCTTTTCACCAGGACTACCATCCTGTCCAGATGGTCCTACTTTTCCAGCTGACCCTGGAATTCCTTTTAATCCACTTGCTCCAGGAATACCAGGCAGACCTGGTATCCCCGGAAAACCTATCAGTCCAATGGAGCCCTTCTCACCTGTTGAGAAACAAGAACTTTTATTATTATCCTCATTTTACATATAAGGAAATGGAGGCTCAGAGAGGTTGACTTGCCCAAAGTCACACAGCTAGGAAGTTACAGAGAAGGGATTCAAACCCAGGTTTCTCTAACTCCACGATCTTAGTCATTAGCAAGCTTAGTCATTACGTACTATACTACTTCCCTGAATAGGGATGTGGCACTAAGAAATGCAAAGGAAAGAAGTGGGCCTCTCTCTTATGATTCACCATGTTAGAGCTCATGTGTGGCACAGAAAAAACAAAAAAAGTCCAGGGCCAGGATGCAGGGTGATGGGATCTAGTCTGTCTCTGTTGCTAACCAGTTGTGTGACCTTGGACCAGTCACATTCACCTGTTTAAAATGGAGATGCCACCTGCCCAACCACTGATGGCTATCAGGGCAATCATAGGAAGTTAGTGCTTAATGGCAGAAGTCGCACAATGGCGTAAACGCAGTATGGTGGTCACTGCCCTAGACTTTACTAACCATGATATTCAGCCCAGTGTTCCGCCCAGCAGGCAGTGAGGGTGACTCATCTTGGGTGGGAGTCCTCCTTTAGCACTAGCCTTGTCCAACTATCTTGCCATGAAAAGCCCCGCCCAACTCCCTCCCTATTCCCCATTCCTCCACACAGAGAAGGGAGCAAGCTGGGCAGCTAGAAAGCTCCTTTTTGGCACCTACTGGTCACTTCACTGATCACTTCACTTACCCTTCGGGCCTGGAAGGCCTGGCAACCCAGTGCTCCCTGGCAAGCCTGCATTTCCCAGCAAGCCAGTCAGCCCTGGAGATCCAGGAAGGCCTTTCAACCCAGGAAAACCTCTCTTTCCAGTTGATCCAGGGGGACCTATCTCGCCTCTTGGACCTTTCTTTCCAGGATTTCCTGAATCAGCACAGGAGAGAACACAAGACGGCTGTCAAGTGAGGTTCTGGCCAGATCTGGGCCACTGTCTATTCCCATAGCTTCTGGTTGGTTGGCTTGTTAGGTTTTATAAATGGCCCTTTAGCAATGGCACATGCAAGCTGCTAACAGGCAGTGTTCTTAGTTGGCTGAAGCATTAGCACCTGCGACCCAGAGTGCCACGCCAATGGCTATTGCTTCTAGCATGGCACGGTGGCTGGCAGGGAGTGTAAGCCCCTGCTGATTATAACTTGTTCTCCCTTTGTGAATGTGGTTCACACTTTAGCCTCTGAATGGAGCTTTGGGAAGCCAGGGTGGCAACTGGGCTCCAGTCTCCTGGTACTTCCAGTCTGAATCACACCACAGTGGCTGTTTCCTGAGCCAATCGGTGAGGTAGAGGTTAAAGCTGAGCTGTTGTTTCAGCCTCCCAGGGAGCCTTGGATACAAGGCTGCCCTTTTAATCCCTCAAGCAAGCAGTTAAGTCAGCTAGTTCCTTGGCATTAAGGTTGAAAGACCCCCTAGTGGCAAGTACTGTAGAAATCCACAAGGCCCATTTGGTCTCCTAGGTATTCTGAGACGTCCTTCGCCAAGCTTTAAAGTTGGTCAATGGGATTAACCTCCTGAGCTGCTGCCAAAGTGGAATGTTCAGGTACAAAGCAAGGAAATTAAAAAACCAAAGGATTAAATCAATGACCACAGAGGTATTTGGGCCCCCAAGGACCCAAATGAATGGCTGACTTGGCTTTCTATGGATTGAAAAGCATCAAGTAGCTGCAAGCCCCAGAATTCAAATGGGAGGCTGTGAAGGGGACTCCGCAACAAGGGAAGGAAATTCAATGGGAGCCAACCCCACAGCATGAGCTCAAGGATCCCCGGGCCATGTAAGCAAGGCCATGTTATAGTGTACAGTCAGATAATTCCCTGAGCGGCAAAGCCGGCAGGGGTGTTAGTCTGTGAGCTCGTGCGCCGTGTTTTCTCACCTAGGCAGCCTATGTGAAGACTCCAGAAACACAGAAGGACAAAAAAGATATTAATTGCTCTGCAAATAACTCAACTTCGGTCACTTGGCCAGGAGTAAGGATGGGGGTAGGGAATGATGTAGTCACTGAGGCAGGGTGAGGAGGGCGGTGCAAGGAAAAGGCAAGCTGCCAACACCAGGCTGGAACCAGGGGGTGTTAGGCCCCACTGATGAGTGAAAGACACTTTGGCTGTGGGTCCTCGGAGGCACGCTTGCCTGAGGCAGGCCGCCAGGGTGGCCACACTCGGCTCAAGCTTCTCCCCAACCTGAAGCAGGCTCCCCATAGCCCCAGTGAAGGCAATGGAGATGGAATGGTCCCACGTCAACAATGAGGGCGGCTTCTCTAACTGGGGAAGGCAGGAGAGAGGCTAAGACATGAAAAGCGGGTGTGAAGCCATGGAGGAGGGGGTGGGGAGAGATTTGTGGTAATATTTTGGAAGCTAGCTTGCAGCAATCTGTTCTGCTTGGCACTGCGAGAGTGATTTGAGATTTGAAACTTGAGAGGTTAGCAAAGTCAAGTGTCATTCTAAATTCTGACCATGTCACCCTGCTGCTATTGCCTCTCAGGGCACCTGGGCCCAGCGCCTAGCTGAAGCTCCTCCTCCAAAGGACCTACCCGAAATGCCTGGAAAGCCTGGTGCTCCTGGGGGTCCAGGTTTGCCTTTGGTGCCATACAGACCACCAGACCCTGGGGGCCCTGGCTGTCCCATGTGTCCTGGTGTTCCAGGGCTGCCCCGTTCACCTTTGGGGCCTAGCAAGCCAGCCTTCCCAAGTATACCTAATAAAAGAAAAGAACAGATGTTCACAGCCTGGATGGATAGTAGGGACTGAGTCACCAAACCAACTTGCAGCAAAAGAGCTTGGCCCAGGATTCATCCCAGGTACCACTGTCTTCTCCTCTCCAGCCTTGTTGCTATTCCCAGCAGTAAACCAGAGGCTTGGCAAGAAATTTGACTATGGGTTGTGGTCACTTCTGGAATTACTAAGACAGCAAAATGGACTCAGGCCATTTAAGGAAGATTTCCCAAAAGGGAGGGCCAAAACAAAATGATATTTCATTTTAACCCTCTCATTAAACCATCACCCCAGATTCATGCAAGTATTCATGCAGGTATACTGATTAATGTAAGATATTCAATCATTAAATAAGTGGGACAAAAAAAGTCACCCTTAGGTCCTAGAAGGCCAGAGTCTCCAGGAAATCCTCTGTCCCCTGGCAATCCCTGTAGGCCTTGCTCCCCCGGAGCACCATTTTCAGCACCAAAGATGTCACCAGGGGCTCCCTTGGAACCTGGTAAACCTGGACTGCCAACCTTCCCAGGTAAGCCATCTTTTCCAGGGAGCCCAGGAAACCCAGGCAAGCCCTTCTCCCCACGAGGTCCAGGAAATCCTAAATGTAAAAAGGCAAAAATAAAAGGCCATGTACGTTTAGAAGTGATTTGTTTGGGTAAAGATCTCTGAGATGGGTTTTTCTAATATGAAAGCTAACATGTTTATTTTAATAATATATGTCACTTCTCTTGAAGCTCAGGGGTCTCTGGTCCTGGGAGGCCTCGCGCAGAGGCAGGGACTACACCCCGTGACCTGGAGGAGGTTCTAGTTCAGTGAGGCCGGGCCGTGGACAGAGCTCAGCAACCTGCTCCTGGGGCTCCTACAGTTGCCAAAGAGCACGGGTCACTCCCAAGGCCTCCTGGCAAAAGCTCAGCCTCTTCTGGAATTGGCTGGCTCCTGCTATCACGCCTCCCTCTTCTCAGGTGGGGAGAGGGTAGTGGAGGGAACCCCAGAGCACTGGTCCAAGATGAGCCCTGATCCGCTGCAGTTCTCAAACCTGAGCGAGGGTCACAATCACCTGGGGCAACACACAGATTGCCAGGCCCAGCCCAGGAGTTTCTGATCAGCAGGTCCCGTGAAGAGGCTGAGAATCTGCCTTTCCAATAAGTTCCCAAGTGATGCTGATGCGCAGTTTGAGAACTGCTACAGAGTGGGACCGACCATGAAGCTCAGGTTGGAACGGGGTATGCAGAGAGGGATAGAAATGGACGACTTTCCTCTGACTGATCTCAGTCTCCTTCTCTGATGTTTAAGGAGTTGATCCAGGAAACTGTCATAGGACTGGCAGGCAGTCTGGCAGAGTTCCAGCTCTGTCACTAGTGGCTTTGTGATCTTGGGCAAGTCATTTCCTATTTGGGCCTTAGTTTCCTCACCTAAAAGTTAAGGGATTGTCCCAGCTGATCTCAAATGACCCTTATTGTTCTGATACACCATCATTCTATGGCTCTATATGCTCTGTCTTGCTTGGGTATAAAATGAAACCATCCCCCCCACACACCAGTGAGCAAACCTGGCTTGCTGTACTTGGTGGAGGGCAACCTCACTCCAAACACACACTCACACAAAAGGAGAAGCTCCTTTTCTTACCTGGCAATTCAGGGAGGTGAACTACTCCTGGACTCCCAGGCTCTCCTTTATTTCCATGTGATCCGGGCTGGCCTGGAGTCCCAGGGAGTCCACGGGCCCCTTTAGGGCCTAAAAACCCAAATGTAAATATTAAGGGGACAGGAAAGTCAGCATGGCTAGGTATGATGTGTGATGTTCAGTTAAGAATCCTAGATTCTTGGAGGGTCTCTCCTAGTCTCACCTCCCCACACTGCCCTCTTCCGGAACCATTCTATCTCCTCAATCCCCAAGGCTGCCCTCAGGAGGAATGTGGATCCTCACTCAAATGCTACCAGGCTATCCTCTGCTTCCTTTGGCTCATGGCCCTTACAAATGTGTTCCATCGCTTTATCTGGCCTCATTCCATACCTGGGAATCCAGGAGTTCCTGGGAATCCTGATGGACCATATGACCCGGGAATAATACAAGGCAGGATGACTCCTGTAAATGGTAACATGTATGCATCTGGTGAACCCACTGAGTCAAGGAAGATTTCCCCCTAGCATGCTCCTTTACTTACATTCCATTTAATGGGACAGCCAAGTTCTCCCCACTCAGCAGTTGGGAGCCCACACAGGAAAACCTTGGCATCAGAAGCTTTTGGGAGTTACCAGCAGTATAATTGTTTACAGATGAGAAGTGTCCAAGTGCCCGGATGTTACTTATCAAATCATTGGTGCCCAGTGGGCAAGCAGTCACCTATGCAGCAGATGTTACCTAATAAGGTTTCCTAGAAGTGGCCTGTGCAGGAACAGCAGCAAACGGCAATTGCCTACTCATCCTGCTCTCAGAGCCTCTTCCTAGGATGGGTGCCTGGGGTCACTCCTAAGGGTCCATTGTGCCCACATGACTAGATGGGAGGGTATAAAGACTCCTCAAGTTCACATGTCTACCCTTTTCTTGGAATGAAGCTTTCCCCAAACCAATGGGCTCTTTTAATATACTTCATTTGGGATCTACTGAAACCTATTGATTGTTCTTTGTCAAACCCATATGTCTATACCAGGCAAACAATGAAGACTACTTTCTTGGCCATGATAGGCAAATGGTGACCCTTCCCTCACCTCCTTATTTGAAACTGTCAACTCTGCTACTCAGGGAGAAGGAGTAGCCAATTTCAATATTTAAGATGTTAAAATTGACATGCATAGCCCTTTCCCTAGCAAATTCTTCCTTGCTCATTCATAATACAAATAAAAAGTGTCCATAAGATCACAGAGGCGAGGTTTAATAAAATACTGGTGAACAAATTGTTTGTCGGCTCCCTCAAGTACCATTTACAAACAATTGCTATGCTAATTAAAATTAGTCTTGTCTATTCACTAAAACAATCCCCCAAGGTTTGCTTTAAACCACAGAGCCAACAGTTTAATAAACCTCTATAGCCTTTGCCTGTACTTAAAATAAATCACAAATTGTATTTCTGAAAAATATGTATACAGCCTATGATTCAGACTGCTTATTCAACTGGATGGCATTCCTCCTCCAATCCCATTTCTATTTTCCTAACTCAAGATTGAATACTGAACAGCATAATGTATTGGTTAAGAGATTGGGCTCTGAAGCCAGACAGACCTGAGTTGGTATCCTAGTTTTGCTACTAACAAGCTGTGCAGGCAAGATACTTACACCTCTCTGAGCCTCAAGTGTAAAATGGGAACTACCTCTCTCATATGGTGTTTGTGAGGATTATATGAAACAGAGCTAATAGCACATAGCACAGTGGTTGGCACTCTGATTATGTGCTCAATTAATAATAGTCATTATCTTATGTAAGGAGGAGTATTCAGAAGAGCTCCTGTAAGGCCATACCCTGGTTTCTACTTCAGTCATGTTACTGACACTACTTGTAGCCAGGGAAGCAACTTTCTGCCTTTTAGACCTCAGGTTTCCATAGTCATATTTCTACAGGAGGAAAGATGGCCATAAGCCTAGATCCTCCTCTACAGGTGGTAACACCCACCTCCTTCCTGCCAGACATTGAGATGGCAGAACTATTTCTGATAGTCATTTCCCTACTATGGAAATATGCTCTACAGGCAAACGCTTCATGATAAGATGCTTCACTGGGAGGGGGCTTCCAATACTGTGCATGGCTCGGGCCTGGGTCCTTTGAACTAGGCTGAAGAACTGCCTCCGTAGCCAGTATAAATGGTATTGTGAGACGGCCTGCGGAAGACTCTCTTGTGCCCCACTATCTCAATAGCCCATTGGCTCCAATGTGTCAAACTCTACCACTGCAGTTCTACTGGTTTATGTCTTAGAAACAAACTTAGTAAAATAAAAACACCCCTGGGCTGGGTCCAAACATGAAGCCATCCACCCTTAATTTATCAGATCAGTTTAACAGCTTCTTTCCACCTGTGACAGCCAGATTTTAAAAGGTCTTTACAAGATGGGGCTGAAAATAGGCATCTGGAAAGGTACCAGGATAGGAAAAATAATGATCAAAGGGAAGGTGGGTTGAAACCAGAGGAAATCAAGGACATATTTCCCTTCATAATTTTGCCTCAGACCTGTATACCACATCACGCTTGTGTATTGCAAGCAGAGGTTCCAAAGGGTGAGAAGGGAAGGACTTCCAAGTCACACTGGTATCTGGCTCTTTGACTTCACATCCTATCTTCTACTTTACATTCCTCAGTTCAGAGGCTTCTCCTTAACAAAGCAGAAATCTGCTCTACCCATGATCTGTTTTATAAGTACAACAAATGACCTAATTATTCAGATTCTTTTCCATTAATGCCAAAATTCATCTTCAGAATAAAAAGGGCCTCTGGTTATCAAGATTCTAAACATCTCAATTTGTTCTGGGTCCAACGAATAAAGATCAGACATGCGTGGGTCCTTTCAGGTACCTCCTGAGGCAAGTTATGGCCCCAGTTAAGTTCAGAGAATGAAATTGGTTAAGGTAGAGATCAGCCAAGCCATCAACATGCAGGGTGAAGGAAATCAGCCCCTCTCAGACACTGTATGCCCACTTACTCCCATACTTCCCCCCTGTAGGAGCTATGTGCCAAGGAGCCTTCAAAGCAGTGTCAGAGTCAGTGTCAGCCTTTGCATCCCAGCTTTAAGATCACTCCACTCCAAACATGGGCTCTGGTGTGGTACTCAGGCCATTGTGAGTGTCTGAGACAAAGGTGAACACAAAAAGGGGTGTTTGGCCAACACTGGTGTACGAGAACCTGTAGACCTGGCTAGCTCTCACCTCCCTCTGTGTCTAAGTCTCCTTTACCAACCTTCTCCCTGCAGCAGCAGTCACCTAGACCAATAAAGTAAAGAAGAAAATCAACCCAGGACAAAAGTCCCTTGAGGCCCAAGCCAGTCTTGTCAGCACCCCAGATATGCCCACCAACCCACTCCCCTGTCTGAAGTGAGTGGAGAGTACTGGCACCCACACAGGATCAAGCACACAGTAGCCACACTTCAGTAACAAACAGGGTGATTGATCACCATGAGCATCTGGAACACAGCCTCTTTGGAAACAGCCAGTTGTCTGCTTGCCCAAAGTTTGTAATAATTCACACTACTCATTTGATGATTACATTCCCTTTCCTAGCAATGCAGCTGCCGTAGCCTGGGCTACTACTGATTGGAGTGGGCACATTTCATGGCAACCAAAATGGCCACAATGCAAATGTCTGGAGCCCACAGGTTATTTGTTTTTAAAATTGTATGGAAAGGAAGCTAGGTTTGAGGAGTTATATTTGGTTGCCATAGAGACAGAGAAAGCTAATGTTCTTCATTGAAGTAATTTTTTTCTTTTTTTTCCTTTCTTTCTTTCTTTTTTTTTTTTTTTTCCGGAGGCAAGGGGTCTTGGTGTTGCTATGTTAACCAGGCTGGACTCAAACTCCTGGACTCAAGAGATCATCCCTTCTTAGAATCCCAAGTAGCTGAGATTATAGATGCATGCCACCACACCCGGCTTGAAGTAATTTTTTTAAAGTCTTGGTACTACAGCAAGAACATGGCTATGGTTTGAATATGGTTTGTCACCACCAAAACTCACGTTGAGGCTTGGTTCCCAATGTGGTAGTGTGGGGAAGTGGTTAGTTTGTTAAGATGGATTAATCTCCTTCTCAGGAGACTGGGTTATTTCTCCATAGAATAGATTAGTTCTCATGGAAATAGATTAGTTCCCATGAGAGCAGGCTGTTATAAAATGAGGTTGCCTCTGATGTTTGGCCTCTTTCACATGTGCCCTTCCATTTTCTGTCATGAGTTAAAGAAGCACAAGGCCCTTATTGGATGGGCCACTCGAACTGTGAACTAAATAAACCTCTTTTCTTTATAATTATCCAGTCTCAGGTATTGTTATAGCAACAAAAAACAGAATAAGACAGACGTTTTCTGCATAAGCCATCTCCCAAGCTATAGCTTACTATATCATTATATTCCTAAAAACTTTCTATGTTCAGGGACTAGTAAAGTTTGGGATAGAAATGGTACTATGGGCTTTCTTCTGTTGACTCAGCCTGTTCCCAAACACTTGAAATGTTGATAATATCCAGATTTGGGGGTATGTAAGTTTGTAGGTATCATGCTATTATAACTCAGTGGCCTACAAAATGGGCTGACCTAGAGTAAAGACTCAATTGGGAGAGGGGCAGTGGAATGACCACGAGTAATGTCTCTGGGGACAGAGCTGGAAGCAAAGTTATAGCTAACCTAGGACTTCCAAAAGACAGAATGATTTTGTTTGATAAAAGCATTTTCAGCCTTCTTAAGAATTTGTGAAAAGAAATACTGACTTGGTTTTAAGAATCTTGAATTATCAAGTTTTAACCTGTATCATCATCCTTATTATACCAGTTCATAAAAATAGATTTTACAATAAATAAAATTATATAAGACCTGGTATCCTGTCTTCTTCTTCTTCTTCTTTTTTTAAAGTTCTTCAAGGTGGAAAAAGGAGAAGCGGGTTTAAGAAATAGCCCCTTGGTTATGGGGAAGACCCTTTCTTCTGCAAATAAATAATAGTCTCTTTTGGAACACTGCACTAGGCTAGGCAGGTCGAGAAACTCTAAGAAGTATTACTCATGTTGCCTAGTATCCAGAGACTTACAATGTAGCTGGGAAACATAAAAGCATCTATGGAAGGAGATATATAATTTAAGTAGCAATGACATACTGTGGAGGTCAAGGGAAGGCTTAATGGAAGAAGTGGGGCTTATGTTGAACCCTGAAAGATGGATATTATGTGACTACATAAAGAAAAGGGGAAGAACGCTCCAGATAAAGGCAACATGGGAAAAATCTTGGCGTTGAAAGTGAACATGTTATGTTTGGGTACAGTGAAGAAGACTGGAGTCTTAGTTGTTTTTTTTTTTTTATCGTGAAGAGTGTGATATATGAAGAGGTTAGTCGTGGCCATGTTTGGAGACTTTTAAATTCCAGGCTGAGAAGTTTGGACATTATCCTCTATTCAATGGGGACCATTTGTGGCTTTGGATTAAAGAAGTAATATGATGATGTTGGTACTTTATAGATACTGAATTGGCAGCAGTGTTCATGGTAGAATTGAATATGAAAACTCTGGAGGTAGAAGATGAAAAAATACTTAGGAAGTTGTCATTCACTCACTTACCCATTCATCCAACCAACCAACCACCCATTTATTTCAACAAGCATATAGGTATTTGATAAACTAGGCATGAGATAATGAGAGTTTAGTAGCAAGAAGAAGAGGTATTGCAAAGGAAGAATAAGAGATAATTTCAAATTTTCAAACTTCAGATAACTATAGGAAGTGTGGTGCCACTACTGGAAACATAGAAGTTGTGGAAACACAAAAGTTGGGATGAAGGCCGGGTGCAGTGGCTCACGCCTGTAATCCTAGCACTCTGGGAGGCCGAGGTGGGAGGATTGTTTGAGCTCAGGAGTTCGAAACCAGCCTGAGCAAGAGCGAGACCCCGTCTCTACTAAAAATAGAAAGAAATTAATCGGACAACTAAAAATATATAGAAAAAATTAACCGGGCATGGTGGCGCATGCCTGTAGTCCCAGCTACTCGGGAGGCTGAGGCAGAAGGATCGCTTGAGCCCAGGAGTTTGAGGTTGCTGTGAGCTAGGATGATGCCATGGCACTCTAGCCCAGGCAACACAGTGAGACTCTGTCTCAAAAAAAAAAAAAAAAAAAAGTTGGGATGAAGAGCTGTTCTGGCTATATAGAAGAAGATCAGTTATTAGCATAGCACCTTCAAAATCTATAAGCAGAACTGTCACTCACTATACTTCCTGAAATTCAAGTAGAAAAAAGTTATAGAAAGGGGAGGGAGTTAAGGTATCAAATGAGGATTATACTAGATGCAACTAGGGTCTCTGCCCAATCTGAGATTCCATGAATTGGGGAAAGGTTCTCCCCTGTTAATGTTATTACCATACAATTTAGAGGACACTTTCTCCAATCTCCCACTCATTACTTTGATAACATTTGCAATAAATGGTCATCCTGCTCTCTTTGAACTTTTCCAGGGATTATGTGCTCATAACCTCCCTAGATAGCTCTGCTACACTTTCTGATGCACTATTAGGAATCACTCAGTAGAGCAAAATCTATTGTTCTGCCCTCTAAGCTTACCACAATACAATTATAATCCTTTTTTCACATGAAAACCCTTAAGAGGATTAAAAGTAGTAATTATGGTCAGCCTCCTCTCTTCTTATGACACATTTCATGCATCTGAGTCATATCTACTCTACAAAGGGTTGAATTTCCAAGTCCAAAGCCATCTGATTTCATGACTCACCTGGAGGCCCAGCAGGTCCTTGTTGCCCTGGTAATCCATCTACTCCTTTATCTCCAGGAAGCCCACGAGGTCCAAGAGGTCCTGGCAGCCCAATTCCTGGGACGCCAGTTGGACCGGGATGGCCTTTTACACCAGGAAGTCCTGGTAACCCCTTTTCACCTGGGAAGCCCTGTCCACCATCACCCTGTTACACAGCACAAAAAAAGAATGAAAGTTTAACTTAGAGACTTATCTGAAGAATCCTCTGACCATAGGCAAGAGGTAACCAGTGTGACTGATGCTTTCTGTTTTGTGAAAATTTTCTATCACTCTAGTTTACCGATCAACTTCCTCTGACTTTAGTTGATCGAAATGAGTCTTCTCAACTCTGGATGATCTAGTAATGAAAATGGTTCCAGATGGGGGTTGGAGGAGATGGCAGGAAATGAGCAGGGTAACAACCCTTGAGGTCACAGAAAGTGGCTGGATAACTTGAACGGGAAAGCCATTAAGAAGCTGAATCATTTTTAAGTGATATGACCAATTTTTACCAGATTTATCAAAAGACAATGACTTATTCTGAGAAAATAAAAGATTCTCATTTTACAGAAAGGAAAATTATGGAGTGAAAATGTCAGTGGCATAGGTAGGGCGAGATACTCTGGACTCTCTGTTCTGCCCTGTCTCATGGTCATCAGACCTCCCACCCCCCACCCCAAGTCAGGTGTGAGGATTTATAAAGCTAATTACTCAGGAATGATCAACTTACCGGAAGGCCTGGCAGACCTGGCAAACCTGGTACTCCATCCTTGCCTGGGGCTCCTGTCGCACCAGGGAACCCCTGGGGGCCACGATCACCCTGGTCCCCTGGCATCCCTGATCTTGTACCGAGAATTGGTTCCCCCTTCTCTCCTTTAGGGCCTACAAGACCTGGAGGCCCAAATAAACCCTGGCGGAGAGACAAAGACGGTAACCAAGAGAGGCAGACTTCATAGAATTCTGGCACCCGGCACACTGATGACCTAACGCAGGTCTCTTGGATACATTTTGACACTGTTCTGGGCACTTGATTAGGTTGTCATCTTAGATAATAATTGCCCATCTTCTGTATTCTTTCTTTCTTTATTTTATTTCTTTCTCTTATCAAGTTGTGATTTGACCCATTTTTTGTATTCTTTGTAAATTTTGAAATCTTTGAGGAAGGGAACCTCATCTTAATTCCTATTTTATCTTCAGGGCCCAGCACAGTGTTAGGCAAATGTTAACAATCTTGTGGAAAGAAGGAAGGGAGGGGGGAAGGAAGGGAAGGTAGGTAGTTTAAAGTAGAAAGGGACTTTAGTCAGACTTCTTCATGTTGTAGATCAAAACTCCAAAGCTTTATTTCATCCCTACCTTTCTTATATGTGCTTTAGGAAAGTGACTGGGGCGGGGGGGAGTGAGGGGCACCTGAAAGCTCCCATTGCTCCCTCAGGGCCAAAGTTTGGCAAGACTTACTGGATCCCCTGCTGGGCCCTGTGTGCCCCCAGAGCCTGGATCTCCTCTGGTTCCTTTAAGGCCTGGAAGGCCTATGAGACCTTGTGGCCCAGGCAGGCCTGGTTCCCCTGGTGGTCCAGTGTTGGGGACTCCACCATCACAAGCACAAAAACCTGAGTCCCCTGGGGGAAAAAAAGACAATATAGAACAAAGTGGGCCATTTTTCCAAGAAGAAAGAAGAACTGATAGTGGTTATTTGTGACTTGAATGACTTCATGGAGGGCATCACAAGGCCTGCAGAGAATAGACTCAGATAAACTTGGTTCATTCTTCATCAGAGTATGTCTGTGCTTGTGATTCAGATTTTATTAGCCTGAAGTGAGGTCCAGCCATCAGTGAGCCCAGTGTGCAGCCATAGTTGAGAACCACTGACCTACACTAACCAACTGAAAATCTGGAATCCAAGCCACTCAAAGGTTCTCTTCACCAAAATGTCTTTTCCCCTGACTTTTGTACACTTGAGACAAATTCCAAATAAAATGAAAATAGGGATTTCAGCAAAGCACTTTTGAAGAGGTATCAAGGGGTCACTAGCACTATGGCCCAACCACCTATATCTTCCATGCTTATGCTCTGGAAAATGAGAATTGGTGCCAACATAGGAGATGCTGAATTCTGCAAAGATCCTAAAGGGCCTCTTCCTACTTTCAGGGAATTGATAATCCCTGAAACTCTAAGAGAACAGTCTGTTCTTCAGGTTAGTATTTCTAAGGTGTGATCCATGGACCTCCTGCATGATTGACCTGTGACGCTTATTTATAGGACAGCTTGCTGGGCTCCATCCCAGTCCTAATCAGTCAGTCTCAGGAGGCCAGACCCAAGAATCTAATTTTTTAATAACCTCCCTAGATGATTCTCATGTACAATGAAGCTTGAGAATCACTATCAGTATTCCAGACTTACATAAAACCTTTTGGCCCCATGGAAATACAGAGGGGAAGCATCAGAGCTGTGCCTTTTTTAGAAGTAAGTGTGGTACCTACCGAGAAATACACCAGCTCTATAGTGAGTCAGGGAAGGGCCAAAATTAACATCCTAGGTCCAAACTTAGAATTTAATGCCCTTTCCCCTCAAATAGTCTTCCTTGGATCTGAATAGCAGAGATCGAGCTTTCAGAAATTTCTTAACTAGCTCCTAAACTTAGGTAGTAACATTTTATGGCAGGGCAATGAGAAAGTAGAGGCATAAGTTAGAACTCTGTTTGAGGCTGAAGAGAGCTGTTAATTTCTCCAGAGAAGTGGAAAGATCTCAGATAGCTAAAACCCCTAGGCCATCCCCAAACCGCTCTTCAGTCAGTAGTTTCACCTCTTCTTCGACCCTGGCCTAGGCTGCAACCATATGAATTGACTTATTTGAGCTTCTTCCCCACAGAGTAAGGAATGGGGAATGACCCAAAGGCAGCAAGAAGATGGAAATAATTAGTACAGCCGAAGGCTGGTGTCATTGATCAGTTCTCCAGCATCAGTGGGGACTGGAGTTGTTTGCCTGGAGCTGGTTGCCTTTTTCAGAGTCTCAGGTCTTGACTTGTTCAGAGCTCTTTCCTTCAGGCTGAAAGTAGTAAGTGGCTTCCATCCTCCGCCTTGCAAAGTGGGAGGGGTTGCAGCATTTGCTGGTTAACACCCTGGGTTGCTGCCAATAGCTTCTGTAGGTGGAGGGGATAGGAAAAGTAGCCTGCGGGCCACCTTGTCCTGTGTGACCTCAATTGCCAGCCTCAGTCTTAGAGGCCCAAATATAGCACTTCCAATAATCCTATAATCAAATCCCCAATCAAGATCTAAAATTGCTGTTGTTTCAGTTCCCAGGGCAGTTGTTTTGTTCATTCCCCATAAAGCCTTCTTTAAGGAGTTTGGGAGACCAAGAAACTTAAGGGAACAAAATCACCTTTTACTCCTTTGAGGCCTGGGTTTCCTTTTGGCCCTCGTTCTCCTCGGAGACCAGGGAACCCTGGCTCTGTTTTGTGCAGGGTTCCAGTATCAAATGCTGGACCTGCAGGAAAAAGAAACATAAATGATTGGCAGCTTATATAAGCCTGATGACTCACCTGCTCACCATAGCAGCTCAACCACCAAGGCCTGAGTCCCTGAGGCTCAGCAATACCCAGAGTAGACACAAGAAAATAAAATTCAAGATAGGGACCCCAAGTCTGCAGTAAGGAGCCAATAGGATTCTCTGTTGTTTCAATTTGTTCTATTAATACTTATAGAAAGTCTACTATGTCCCAGGCACTGTACTAGACACTGGGGATATAGAAATGAAAAAAGTAGCTTCAGTAACTCAGCAGTCCCAGAAAGCTCCCTTGGGACAAAAGAAGAAATAGGTGCAAGATGCAGTGGTCATGGGATTTAGGGAACAAAGAAACATGCTGGGCAATATTTCCAGCCTTTCTCTCAGAATCTAGAATTCCATACTCAGATAGAAGATCTAAGGAGGACAAGCCCTGTGTAGGCTTTTAGCAGCCACCCTGAGGATCCAGGCTGGGAATTTTTTTTCTCCTCAGGCTCCCAGCCCACCCCATTGGAGCCCTGTGAACCAGGGGAAGCTCAAAGGAGCCAGTGCTGCTTCTTCAGGACCAGAGGCCTAGGGGTTGAGAACAGTGAAAAATGGAGTGGGTACAAAAGTTAGAAGGCTTTACATAGTGTTTGACCACCAAGATGGCCCTATTTGCTTGTTCCTTGAGGGAGAAAATTCTGCCTCAGCTGATAACTGGCAGAGGCAGGGCTCTGACTCAGAGAGGATGGGGCCTTCATCGCTGCACCCTGCAGTTATCATGTGTCCTAGCTTAGCTGTTTCGCCTGTGAGATGCTCCCTCAAAAACTATGACTGTTCTGCAGTCTGGATCACATCTAAGTTTCAAGACGAAAGAGAGAAATGAATAACTTACCAGGTGGGCCAGGTGGGCCTGGCGGGCCTGGCAAACCATCTCTGCCAGGGAGGCCAGCTGCCCCAATTGTGGTGCGGCCTGGGTTTCCTCGGCCCCCTTTCAGGCCTGGAAATCCTTGCGGCCCTAAGGCACCTGGGACACCTGAAAGGAGAAGCCCACACACAAATGCTCATATCACCCTACTCTTTGGCGTATTCCAATCAGTGACATATGTTGCAAGCAACTCCAAGGGAAGAATCTGGGAAAGCATTTGCCTTTTTGTTGCGTCGGCATTAGAGGGGTCCTTAGGGATGAATTAGCCTAACTTCTTAGGAAACTGAGGCCCAAAGAAAAGAGGAGACATAGACAGGGTCCCAGAGTTTCTTAGTGGCAAACCTGAGAGTAAGACCTGGGTCTCCAGCCTCCCACTTCTTGAGTTTTTCCACCTTAGTGCTGGGGCCAGCTAGACCTTTTCGAAGTGGCTGCTTTAAAAGCACAAGTATCCTTACAGAAGCCCATATCCAAGGAATTTAGAAACTGGTGACCTTAAAAGTAATGTCTGGGGCTTTATATCTGGGACATCACTGCTTCCCAGACTCTGGCATGCCCTTTTTCTGCCTACCACTATAGAAGGACATATTGGTATGTCCCTCTGCTGATTGGTCCAAGGGTGTCACCCATAGGATCCTGGGAGCATTTAGTGCCAGAGTTAAGCTAGGAGTGAGGGTATGGGTACAAATTTCCCCCTGGGCTTTTGTTAGCCCCTCTTGGCAAGCATCAGCTGGGATGGCACATCCACAGAAGAGTGACATGGCTCCAGCAGCTCGACACAGGACCCTTCTGGTTGCTGCAAACCTCAGTAACACTCTGGGATTGTCAGTCCAGCTATGGTACGTTATTTAAGCCAAAGGAAAGCTGCTCACCCAGGCCCTACCCACACACACATTAGCCTTGGGCTGGCAGTGGGGAACCTACTGACTACAGTCTACCTCTCCTTTGACTTTGGCTAGGTGTGTGCCCAGATCCAGAGGTATAGAAGGGGATGCTCATAACCACAGTGGATAGAGGGCTGATCTGTGCAGGGGATGGGTTATTTTTTTTTCACCTGGTAGTGATGGCAAGCCAGGGACACCAGTAGGGCCACGCAGGCCCTGGACACCTTCATCTCCTTTAAGGCCTGGGAGGCCTGGTGCACCGGGGTCTCCAGGATAACCTGGCATTGTAATGAAAGAACAAAGTGGTAAACGAACACAGAGGAGGCCCACAAATGCCCAAAAAGAAATGCAGGGAGCTGTCCTGGGGTTAGATGTGCCTTTCTTGTCCTTCCCAGGTCTCCCAGATGCTGATGGCCTCACATGACAATGGGCCTACTGGAGTCGAGGCTCCACAAGTGTTAAGAATTGATCTGGCTAGAGCTTGCCTTCCATGATAAGCTCTGCTAAGTACCAGGAAGGTTCTTCTACTACTACTAATCTGCTGTAATGTCTCAAATGTCTACCATTTCAGTTAAGATGTTGAAGTCCACTATTTACATTATATACATAGGATTCCTGGGAGTGGAACACTGGAAGCCACTGTTAACTATTAATACCTGACAGGGCACAGGCCTGAGAGAATGAGAAGAGAGCGATAAGTCAAGAGACTCAGGTGGAAGAGACATTACAGTAGAAGCCTTTGGTGGGGACACTAGGCATCAGATCTTTGGAAAAGCCAAAGGGAAGAGTTGGGCATAGACAAATAACTAGGACAAGGAGAGGTAAAGACAAACTTTTAAAGCACCATACTGCTACTTGCTCCCCTAACCAAAGATACTTTTCCAATTCCTATGAAATTGTCAAGCTCAAGCGTGAATGGGATCATCTATATGAGACCCTGAGCATCCCGTAGTATCGAGCCGAAGTCAGTCCAGCTAGGGAGGATATCGATCGTTTCCTAAGCATCCCAGAAGAACTATTTTGACCAAATTCAGGCCCAGGCAGGCCCAAATCCTAGTCTTGGTGTACCCAACACAAAAATGGGGTGCTGGGATTGGCTTCTCTGCACCAGAGATTAGAGTTAGCTTTATTCCCCAAACTTAGGACACAGGAGGGGCCCATGCGAGTACTGGGTTTAGCAGCAATCCAGGGGCTAACAAAATATCCTTTTAACAATTTCAGAGGATATAGAATTTAACCCCCTGTCTTTTTTCCTCCACTCAAATTAAGGAGAAGTTGCACCTGAGATCACAGCACCCTCTATATCGATGAAAACGTCTGGGCCTGGCAGGCCAATGCCGCCCTTTTCACCCTGCAAAGATTAAATACATTAAACACAAATATTTCCATGACTTTATCACTCAAGATCTATGTGCCTTCAAGGCCTATCCCTAGGAAAATGAAAGGTTCCTCGTTCTTTAACCCCTGATTTTCAGGGTCAACTAGGCCATAGGTTCATTTTAAAGTCCCATAAATTTAAGATGAAGGTAACACAAGGCAGGACAGAGGCCTCACACTCAAACAGCAAACCTGACAAGGACAAAGGTCCCACTCAAAGGACAATCTGCTTCTGGGCCTGAGAAATATATCATAGGCACAGACAACATGGCTGTACCCAAGAGATGCTAAGGAGGGAGCAGAGTTTCAACTTTTTTTCCTACTCTCAGCAGGCCTGGGACTCTGCTACTGTCACTACTCTTATTAGTGGATGATGTCAGGCAGAGGAAGTCAAAGGAGTCCTAAATCTCCCAAAACAGGGACTCAGGTACCAGAATCAGATACAGTGACATATCCAGGATGGGCTGGTGGGAGCTGTTTGCCCCAGCTGCAGGCAAAAAAAAAAGGGGGGGGGATGCATTGTATGTAGAGAACTTAAAAACAATAATAAAGCCTGACTGGCAATTCTAAACAATGTCAGTAATAAAGTATTCCTCCTCTTAGGGTTGGACTTGCTCCCACCAGCCCCTGCCTCTTAGTTTACCACTGATTAAGTAGTATCCAAGAAATGCTCATCAGCTGTTTGTGTTGAACATAGGTTGCCTCCATTTCTTGAGAAAAAAAGTGACATCTAAAATGTCAAAATATTAAAAATACTTCATCTCATATGTAGGCATTTATGGTAATTCTTTACCCTGTCTATCTCCCCAACCCTGGATTTTCACTTCCCAATGACATTACCTTAATTCCTGGAATTCCATTAAGCCCAGGGAAACCTGGGGACCCCTTCTTGCCCTGTGACAGAAACAGTTACCACTAAGTTGAAAGTATAAAAGCATAAGAGGGGCTTGTCTTTGGATTAAGCCAGGGCAAATGGCACAGGGATCTCGGCTGGCATTACGGGGTATGTGTGGCTTCTATCTGACTCTGGAAGCTGTAAAGTCTTCCAGAAGGCAATATGGCAGTTGGTAGCCAACTTACATATTAGGAGATACATGGGTCGCAAGGCTAGAGATGGATACAAGCAGGTTGGGCCTTGCTAATTCCTGATAGTATGCCAAAGATGGATGACCGCAACATGGCATGGTAAGGTACCAAACCTGACACTGGAAACCCATCTTCTTGGATGAAAACAAAAGAAGAGAGTGGCTAAGATTATACCAATAAAAGTGAGGTGGACAATTTACATAATGAGTAATGTTTTCTTTTGGCCATGTTAAGTAAAGCAAGGGGGCCTTTTGATTAGAATTTTATATATCAAGACTTTAATGATATTAACCAAAATACCTGTCTCCCTGGAGGGCCTTGGACTCCTTCTGAACCTATGGGACCCTGTAAAGAGAATAGCCACACCTTAGAGAGATGAATAGCCCACACTAGAAAAGTTACTAGATTTACAAAACAAAGCTATCCAACTGAGTTCAGGATTTAGTGGCTCCTAAAATCAGGTAAGAGAATGTTTCTAGACCTGACTTAATGACTTCTTTCTAAGCACTAATCCATCAGGCTGAATAGCCACATGGAACATTTTTAAGAGCTAAGTAAATGGAAACATTTTAAGTAGTAGGTGGAATTTGGTGGAAGGGCTGGGTGGTATTCTACTTAGTCTGCATTAGTTCCAAGTCAGGAGATTTTTAAATAGATTATGGGAGGGCCTCTTGTCTTCCACCTCAAATGCATTCTTTTTTGGTGATTATGTGTTTTCAAGACAAGGGAGAAGGAAAAGTAGAGAAAGAAATGGAAGGGTAATGGATGAATATTGCTAAATATTCAAAGGATTCTTAACAAACTTCATGGGCAAGCTAAAAACACAATTCTCTAACATTACGTGTTTAAAGCTAAGGTTGGCCAGCTGCTTCTAGCTCAAGACCTAAGTGCCTGAAGCTAGGAATCAGAGAGGCTAATAGTTATTTCTCTGTTTAATAAAATGAGATTATTGTTGGAAACCATTGAGTCCAAACATCACTATGTTCTAGAACCTCCCAGGCTTGTTTCTGTCCTATAACAATTTCATTTGGCCCTCTTTCTTCCATTCCTGTGCCACACCCTGCCCACATTCCCTTGGAATAGAATGGAATGAGAGCAAGACAACACTCACATCATTCTTTAGCCCAGAAGATAATTATACATGAGGGCAAGGAGAGTAAATAGGCTGAGGAGGCACCTAGAGTAGGGGATACACCATTCCTTATTCAAGGGAGCCACTCTGTCAAGGGAATGGGGCTAAGTGGAGAGAAGGAGGTTTAGGAGCCTGCCAGAGGGTTGAGGAAGAGAAACAAGAGAAGCTTAGGTGACCATCAAGTTACATAACATAAAGAAGCAAATAGGAAGGAAAAGGACCAGGTGACTGGACAGACCCAGGCAAGCAACATTCCAGGTTCATACCCTAGGTCCTGGCAAACCGGGGATTCCTTTTTCTCCCTTTTCTCCAGTAGTTCCAAATCCCTAAAGGAAAAGAGAAGCCTTAAATTATAACATTCATTTTCTCATAAGTCTCCTGGCTCCGTCTGAAGCAAGGAGATAATTTCACATCAGTTCCACTGTCCCATTTGGGAGGATCACCATGCTGAGTCTCTTGTCGCTGTCTGAGAAGCGCCATTCATTCAGGGCTCCCCTTTGGCTCTAGAAGTAATGTCTTTCCCCCCAAAACACCATTACATGCATTTATAGCATGATGAGCTAACAGCACAGGAATAATTAAATATCTAACTTCCTTGATTTTACAGATGGGGAAACTAAAATCCAGAAGGGTTAAAGTCAGCGAGAAAGCCAGGTCTTCCGACTTCCATTCCAAGGCCCCTTCCAGAAGAACAGTCTGCCTTCCATCATCTAGGAATTTAATTCTTTGGCCCACGAATGGAGGTTTGTGTAAATCCATGGAGGCTGATACTAGGGGGAAGGGTTTTTTCCCTTTGGAGACATGATGATCACAACATCCTTTTCAGTGGGAAGCAGTATTTCCATCTAGGCATGGTCTGGAACCCTGCAGCTCCTGTACTGGGACTGTAGGGCTCTTGCCTGGCCATAGGAGTACTCCAAAGGGACTGTGGAACGGTCTTTAATCCTTCTTGCCCTGCGCATGGGAGGTAAGTGTTTACAACCATGAGTACGACTTGGGGGTTTTCTAGGGATAAGCAGAGTATCCAAGAAGCAGAGTGAGTAAGAGACAGCTTCCTTCCCTCTGGGTCCAAGGCAAACATCTGGGCCCCCAAGATACAGAAGAGTTCATTATCACAGTGGATAAAGTCTTTCATAGAAAACTGAGGCCATTTTTTCATTGCTGTTTAAAACTGTACTTTTTGGAGCACAGATTTTGGCAAACAATGTTTTATCCTATTGTGAGAGTAAAGGAGGCGATGAGGTTTTCTCAAATGGAAGCTTGTGAAAGATACTAAATGTTGTTGTGGCACATCTCCTGTTGTCCTCTTGATGTGACCTGGCTCAGCTGGTGTAAGGGTGCTGCTCCAATTCCATTTGTAGCTTCTTCTTCCTCCTACGTACATACTCAGTGCCCCACAGGGAAGTGAAAGCTGGCTGAATATCCCTCGGCTTTCTAGGCCAAGGTGTTTCTTTATCGTTTTTTTTTTTTTGTGTGTGTGGGTGGTTCTTTTTTTATTGGGGGGAAGGGTATGTTTGTAAAGGGTCCAATTCAAAGTAGGCTTTGGTCCCTACTTGCCTTTTCTCTCTCTCTTTTTTTTACATCTGTAATTGTGTGTCAAATAGCTCAGCCCTCATGCCTAAGAGAATGTCTAATTTGAAAGGCTCGTGGGTTAAACCGAATGCAAACTTATTTGATATCTTAGTTTTTCTGCATCTCAAATTGGAAACCAAGGCATGCTGCCATCTGGTGGAATGTGCCTATTGGCCTCTGAAGTCAAACACTTCAAGCAGCCCTCCCTGATCTGCCTGTGAAAACCGTGGTAGCTCATGCTGCCCCAAACTCTTAAAGCAACAAGATTGGTTGTGCATGAAAGTTCTGTAAGCAAAAGGCCTATATCATACGCTCTAATGTCTCCTTCCAAGGCCCATTACTGCAGCTGGAACACATACAAGGTAGTTCAGCAAATACTTGTAGAACTGAATGGAATAATGACCCAGAACACAAAACTGTTGCAAATGGTGAAGGAAAGAATGCCCAGGAACTGTTTCATGCCCCCCACCTATCTCGCCCACAGTTATAATACTAGGGGATCTTGCATTCCTTTGGAAAGCAGAAAGAACCTCCGGATTCTCTTGCTTTCCCAGAGAGAGAATCTGAGAGCTTGTGCTACAGTGGGAACAAAAATAAATACATAAAAAATGTAAAAAGGAAGAAAACATGAAAGAGAGAAATTTGTGTGTATGAGTTAGAGCCAATAAAAGATAAATGACTCGGCAAGACACGTAACCGTGCTGTAGGCTCAACTTGTCTCCCAGTGCGGGGAGGCACTGTACAGGGACCCTGCTGAACAAGCTGTTCTAGCAAGATGTCCTGGGACCCAGCCCTATCACAGTCAGCCCTTGTCACAAGTGATCCTGCAACCGCAGCTCCCACGCCCCTACTCACCCATGGCCCAGAAAGCCTCATTGGAGCACTAGCTTAGCTGTTTCCAGGCCTGTTTTCCTGGGCCCTGGGCCCCGGGTTCTTTTTGGTTCTGAGGAGGCTCAATTGAAGAAAAAGCTCACCTACCCAGCAGTTACCTCAGATCCACTCAATGGTTACTTCAGGATTTGCCAGTTTCTTTTCTTTTCCCTCCCCTCATCTCTTCCATTTTGCCTTCCTCTGTGTTTGCTAGTCCCTTGGACAGAGGGCATGTGGGTATATAATTCTCCCTGACAACCTCCATGGGGGAACCGTGGCCTACGAGTGTGAGTGTGCTGCTAGGGACAATGGGACGAAATGTGTGAAGCCGAGACTGAGCTGGAAAATCAGGCATGTTTGATTACTGCAAAGAGGGGTGAGAGAAAGAAGGTGAGGCATAAATCTGTCAGGTTGGGCACTTTGTCTGCAGCAAAGATTTGGCCTGAGATGGGAAGAAAACAAATGGTTAAAAGAAACATTTTGGATTCCCTAGAGATTTCCGTCTGCAGCACTGCCTTGTTTTTCAGTGAGCATGGATAATTGAAAACCGATGTGAGGGCTTTGGATTTGAGAAGTGTGTTTCCTCTGAAAAGCCCAGAATATCTCAAATACGTTACCACCTTTCTCCTTACAACTTTTATGTCAGAAGCCATTCATATAAGGTACCTGTGAATGTTCCTATTAAGCAGACAGAGATACGGGGACAGAAGGAGTTATAGGATTTGGCCAGGGTCACACATCGAATCTGTGCCAAAGTGGGCTGAGAACTATGGTTTCTTGATTCCCACCCTGTGAAAACATGCTCTTCTATATAAAGGGAGATATTTTCCAGCTTTGATGTCTTTACAATCAACTGGGGTTCTTATTTTTCAGCCCACACTGCGAAACACTAGAAATGCTGAGCTTGAAACAGCATTGCAATTTATCACCGTGCATTGTCGTCAGTCTCTTTCTTTTACGGGACGGAAGGGAACGGGCTGAAATTGCAGCAGGGGAAATACTCTGAGTTTGGACTCTGAGTTCGGACGTGGAAGGGGAGGGAGAGAGCGTGAGCTAGTGAACCCAATAACACCAGACATCATAAAGTCCTTTTTAGAGATCCAGAGATGAAAACACCACCACCGCTGTGTTTACAACGAACCAGACTGTAGGGGGCAGTATGGTATGAGGAAAAAGCCCTGAATTGGCTAGAATTCAGGAAAGCTGAATTTCAGTCTCAGCTCTGCTATATGACTCTGAACAAGCTATAACAACTAGCTATGTGACTCTGGACAAGCCTCTTCACCGTTCAGGCTGTGCTTTCCTCATCAGTATAAGAGGGATGATCCCAGCTCACCTTGCTTACCTCACAGGGATGATGCAAGGTGGCTAGAATCTACAATACTACACAATATACACAAAGAAAAAAAAATACATAATATGTATATAATATACTACAATTCTTCGTGAAATTCTCTAGAAAGAAAGGTGAAAACCTTATTCCAAAACCCACTTGCAAAGTACTTTGTATTTGTGCTGTCCAATAGAAATATAGTGTGAGCTACTATGTTATTGTCAATTTTCTAGTAGCAACATTAAAAAAGTAAAATAAACAGAGATTAATCTTTTAATGATATATTTAACCAAATGTATCATATATACAAGGTGTCCCAAAAGTCTCCATACAAAGGAAAAAAAATTATAAAATTTAATAATGAATATTTTGTAAATAAAGGTACATTTAGCTATAATTTCCCATTTTCCCTATATATGGCAACTTTGGGGACACCCTGTATTGTCATTTTAACATTGAAGTAAAAATTGTTACTGAGATATTTTAGATTATTTTTTTTCATACTAGGTTTTTGAGATCTGGTGCATATCTTACATGTACAGTACATCTCATTTCAGGCCAGCCACATTTCAAAGGTTGAGTAGGCACACGTGGCCAGCAGTTATTAGACAGCATAGTTTTATACTTCATAAAGAAACTTCATAGACATTGTTAGTTGGGCCTCAAAAGAGTAGATAGGTACATGTTCTCATTCATATGTGGGACCTAAAAAAGTTGATCTCATGGAAGTAGAGAGTAGAATGATAGATACCAGAGGCTGGGAAGGGTGTCTGTATGGGTGGGGATGAAGAGAGGCTGGTTAACGGGTACAAACATACAATTAGATAGAAGGAATAAGTTGTAACGTTCGATAGCAGAGTAGGGTGACTATAGTTAACAACAATGTATTACATATTTCAAAATAACTAGAAGAGAGGATTTGAAATGTTTCCAACATATAGAAATGATAAATACTCTAGGTGCTAGGTATCCTGAGTACCCTGACTTGATCATAGCACATTCTATGCATGTAACCAAATATCATGTGTATGCCATACATATGTACAAATATTTTATATCAATAAAAAGAGGAGATATTGTCACACTACAGATATACAGAGAGATTTGGTGACTTGCTAAAGTCTCAGAGCTGGAGCTGTGTCTAAAATCTGGATGTTCTGTCTCCAATACCAGGGTTCTTTTCCCTTCTGATTCATTAGATGCTGAGCTGATTAAAATAATTCTCTATGCCCCTTTGTTTCTATGGAGTAATAGGAAACAACCTGTGCCACTGGCTCCACTGGCTCTGCTTTCTGGTCACGCAGAGAGACTCAAACTGTTTCAAAGTACCACAGGGAAGGAATGGAGTCATCGATCCCCACTGTGCCAGCAAGGAGGGGGAGCCCTAGTCATCTTTTATTCGTCCATTTCCTTCCTGATCCCTAGTCCCAATCCATGAAAATCTTGTCTTCAAAACACATCTTGTGGTTTAAGAGACACATCAACTAATTTAATGTATTAGTCTTGTTTGGACTCTCATTTAAAAAAAGCAACTGTAAAAAACATATATATTTATGGGACAATCATAAATGTGGATTTTGCCTTATTAACTGATATTAAGTAATTACTGATAATTACTGATGATGACATTGTCACTATGTTTTTAAAAGTCCCCATCTTTTAGAAATACAGGGCTATTTATGATGAAACGATATGCCTATTATTTGCTTCAGATGGCCATGAGTTGCTGCAATTGCTGAAGCTGGGTGATGGGTACATGGGGGATAATTATGCCATTCTCTCTGCTTTTGTATATGTTTGAAATGTTCCATAATAAAAAAGTTGAATATTTTTACTTCCATCCATTTCTCTCCATTTCCATTGCTATCATCATAGTCCAAGCCACCACACCTTCTCTTGCCTGGACTGCTGCAAAAGCCTCTGTGTTTGCTACTCCACCCTCCCCAGTGCCCCTCCTTTCCTCTTTCAGCCAGAGTGATCTTAAAAATATAAGTCAGAACCTTCCAATGGCTTCCCATTATGTTTAAAATAAAAGCCACATTTGACCTATGAAAGTGGCCATGATCTGGCTCCTGCTTCTCCGCCTGTGTTTTGGCCTTGCTCACTCTATTCCACCTACTCACCTTCTTACTGTTCCTCAAAAGTACTAAGCTTTTCTCAACCTTAAGGTCTTTGTACTGATGGTTCCCTCGGCCTGAAACTCTCTTTCTGAACTTCACATGACTTGCTCCCTCATAATATGCAGGTCTCAGCTCACACATGGCTTCCTTGGACAGGCCCCCTTCTTGACTGCTCTGTCCCAAGTAACCCACCCTGCTCCCTAGCCACACTCCAACACTTTACCCTTCTTTCCTCTTCTATATATCACCACTATATGAACTTGTTAGTGATGCATCTGTTTACTTGTTTATTGTCTCTCGCCTCCCTCACTGCCCCATTAGAATGTAATCTCAAGGACAGGGACTTTTACTTAGTTACTGTTGGAGCCTTCAAGTCCAGCAGAATGCCCGGCACACAGGGGGCCCTCAAAAGGTTGAGTGAAAAAATCTAAGTTAAAAAGGCAGATATAAAAGTAGAGATAGGATTACTTAGAGTAGATACTATTTACTGAACAATTGATAAGTGCCCTTTTCCTGCATATTATCTCATTTAATCCTTAAAACCACCCCATCATTATCCCTTTTTTGTAGGTTAGGAAACCGAGGCTTGGAAAAGTTAAGAAACTGGTCCAAGGTCACATAGCTAGAAATGGGTGAAACAGTAAGTTAATACTAGGTCTGTTTTAACTCTAGAGCTTGAGCTAATAACCTGTAAGATATACAGCCTCATGGAGAATCATGCTAATGTCCTCATGGGTTCGAGAAACAAGAACATTTCCTTAAATGCCTTCTAGTAATGAAGATGGTGCCATTCTCTACACTAACTATGGGAAGAGGTCTTTCTGTTAGCTTTCTATTGCTACAGCTTTTGTCCAATCGGACCCTTGAATACATGTTGACCAAATAGGGAGACTTACCGGGAAGCCTGGTGGGCCGCTTATGCCTGGGAACCCCTTAGGCCCTGGTTCCCCCTGGAAAATCAACCAAAGGTTAGTGAGTAGCAGCAGGAGGCAGTAAACACAAAGAACGATGGGTCCCTGAGAGTATTTGGACGAAAAAGTGGGGAACCAATTAGGTATCCATCAGGGTACCACAGAGCAGTGCAGATTCCCCAGGCTCCCCAACTAGTAGCTGTACCAGGATGTCTTAGTTCAGGGAGCTCTTTTTTGTGGGGCAAGGACCACAGCCAATGACTGTCTAAAACAGAATTTCAAAAGCTCAGGCTAATTGGGAGACAGAAAGGATGATCATCTGTTTTCTTTCTAGTGGAAGAAGCTGTTCAATGTGATTTCCTATAGTAAGTTATAGTAAGCAAAGAAATCAATGGTTTTGGGAAAAGGATAACAATTACAGTTTGGATGGGGACACATAACATTCTAATCTGTCTTTCTCTGATATTCTCATTTATCTATCTGTGCCATGGAAGGGCTCTCTAGAGTTTGGGAATGATTAGGGAGGTAGGCAATCTCTCATATGCTCCTAGACTGTTTTCAAAGAAATGATTACTTCCTGTAAACCTGAAGAGGCTTGGAGCTTTTGCTTCTACAAAGATGGATTTAAAGAAATAAGACTGAACACATTCCCCTGCCTGGGGCCCTTGTCCATGGGAATGGAATCACAAAAATTAAAGGAATCCCAGAAAGGAAGGGAAAGCAAGTTACTAAAAGATACCTGTACACTTTAACAGCATAAATCCATTAAAATACAACCATGCACATTGTATAAACTCACTTGCATAAAAATACAGGTCATAACATATCTCAGTTAAGTGGGTCTACAGCTTAAGCCTTGAGAGTTAAGATCAGGTGAATCAGGGTATCTACTGCCACTTGGTGACAGAGAGTATATCCTATCTGCAGGGTCAAGTTTTGAGGGCAAATAACTTCTTTAAAAAGATAGCTCAAAAGCAACCATTTATACCCTATGTGTTCTGTCATGGTGCTTTGGGGACAACATAAGTATTGGGAGGGTTGGGAGTTAGGAGGAAAAGAAACTATTCAATGTTTGCTTTAAGTTATTTGGCATATCAAAAATTGAATCTGCAACAATGAAACAGAGAGAATAGCACTTAAATGAATATGCAGAAACCCAGGCACACCTCATACGTACATGCCAAACAACAGACTCAGCCTTTTTAGAAAGCTTTTCACAAGGGACAAAACAAAGAAGGCTTTTACTTTCACTTTTAAACAAAAAACCCATTACCCAGAACCCTCTACTCTTCCACTATAATCTGGTTATTAGAGTTGAATTATGGTATCAGTAGAAAAAGGCTTATTAATTTTTCCTAGTCTTAAATGTTCACTACCTTGGATCCTTTCTTCCCTTTGGGAAACCCCATGAATTCCAGCTCCCCAGTAGATGGTGGAGGTCCTGCTGGGCCAGGAAGGCCAACATCCCCCTGTTAGATCAAAGGGAACATTAAGCAAAGCGTAAACCACACAGACCATTTTTCCAGAGGGTGGGTTTGTCCTCTGGATATAGATCAAAAAGAAATTGTCTATTACTTTGGCCTCTTCACCCTTGTATCAATGAGGCAAAGAAAACTCTCATTGCCAAAAGGTGAGAAGAATTGTAAGTCTAACAAAATGCATTTTGTACCAGCACTGTAGAGGATGAAGCAAAATGGATGAAAGGAAACTTCAGGTTCATGGTTGCCATGGCCACCCATGAAAGGGTGTTCAGAAGAGAGCCAAAATGGGGTTTGAGCAAGGTGACTGACTACCTCTTGGCTACAATGATCAGACTCTAAGTGGTCCAATCCTTGCCAAGAGCACAAGCAGAGGCAGTGAAGTCTGTGTTGGAACACTGGAGGCTAGAGTTGCTCCTTCAGAAGGCAGTGCAATCCATAAGAGACAGCCAGGAAGGGTGGGGAAGGTGAGCTCTCAGCCTTGCTTGAGGCTCCGAAATCACCATGCGATTTGTACAGAGGGAAATGAGGGGGAACGGGAAATAAAAGAAAATTAGTGAAAGAAAGGTTAAGGAAGAGAGAAAGAGGAGAGGGAGGGAGGGGTGGAAGAAGAGGAGGAGGAAGGATGAAGGGAAGGGGGAAGCAGAGAAAAGGAAAGAGAAGGTAACAGAATACATAAAACACCAGGGAAATACCCAGATGGAAGGAAGAGAAAGAATATATTTCAAGAGAGTATGTCTGTAAGACATACACACTTCATAGGTAGGACGCAGGGAGATGGCAGTATTTTAAAGGAAAAAGAACGACAGTAGCCTATGTGTGGCATGTGCACGTGCAGCCCTCAGGGATCTCACCAAAGGATCTATGTGGGTTGCAAAGTGCTCATTTCCCAAGGCAAAGAACCAAATCCCCTTACACAAGCAGGCACATGTGTGCAACCAGAGACATTTTTTGGAACATTGGGAATGCAGATTATATTTTCCAAAATCTATTTACCTTGGCTCCTTTTTCTCCTTGGAAACCTAACCCCATATTTCCCTGGGGCACAGGGGTACAGGGAGGAAAAAAACAAAATCAATTACTAAACAAGTTCCAAACATTTAAATTGGAATGCAGTCTTTTTTACCAGAAAGTAGGGTTCACCAAACCAGTACTTCTCTCTGGAAACCAGAGTACTGAGTGGTAAGGAAACAAAATGCTCCAAGAGAAAGTATACTTACATCAGGACCAAGGAGACCAGGAGGGCCTGGAGGACCCTAAATTTAAAAAAAAAAAAAAAAAAAAAAGTAACATTTGTTAGTTTCAGTCAAAAAGAAAACGGTCATATTGAGAATCACTGGGCATAAGCCCCCCTCCTCACTTGGTGTAGCCTGGCTTTGGTATAGCAGGTTGTAGCTGCCTCTCCCATGGTTCCTTTGTGTCTCCTTTGAAATCTCCCAAATTGACCTGGTAAGCACATTCATGCTAAGGTATTAATGACTTCATGTGTCATTCCTCTCAACAGACCAGAAATTTTAAAATGATGACCCTTGGTAAAGCTAAGACTAAGTAATGAGTGGTGGGATTTCATGTACTGGGGAGAACAATCTTGGGACAGGGCTTTCCCAGAACCACAGCTATGCTCCACCTATACCAATGATGGCAAACAGGTTTGGTATCAGAAAGATAGGTAGGTAGGTAGGTAGAGATGCCTAAGGTGCAGTGTTGAGAAGGATTTTGAAGCTTCCTCAGTATTCAGGGTGGGTGATGGTGGTGGTGGTATGATTAATTAGCAATGCCTGTCATGGGTGACGAAGTGGAAGGTGGCAATAGTTATGTCAGGTAACTGCCATCCCTGGGCTATACTTTAGGTTGAGCTAGACTAGGAGGCTTTGGAGACACAGATTTGATGGTCAGAAAGACTCTGATAAATAAAGACAACCAATATCTCCTAGCAAGAGCATGCTTCACTTTGATGCTCCAAGAATGGAGGCTACCCTTCTTCACTAGGAAGGCCTAAATTACATAGGCTTACATTTAATCCATGGCATGGCAGAGAAAACAGTCATGTGAACACTATGATCACATACTAGACTTCAGTTGGTCTTACTTGCAATCCTGGTGGTCCTACGGGTCCTTCAGCTCCAGGAGATCCGGGTGCTCCTTGTGGGCCCTGGAGAGGCAAGTTTTTACCAAGTTCAAAAAGCAAGACAGTTTCCCAAGAAAAATGAAATATATATGTCCACAAAAACTGTACAAGAATGTTCATAGTAACTTTATTTATAATGATCAAAAATTGGAAATGTCTCAGGTATCCACTGATACAAGGATTGATAAATAAGCTCTGACACATCTATACAGTGGAATAAATACTAACGATAAAAAGTAGCAAACTACTAATACAGAAAATAAAGTGGATGAATCCCAAAAGCATTGTGTTAGGTGAAAGAAGCCAGACCCAAAAGGCTACATATTATATTACTCCCTTTATGCAAACTCTAGGACAGGCAAAAACTGAACTATGATGGAGAAAAATCAGAACAGTGGTTGCTTTGGGGTGGTGTGGAGGCAGGGACTGACTGGGAGGGAGCAGGAGGGAACTTTCTGAGGTGATGGTAATGTTCCATACCTTAACAGAGGTTTGGGTTACACATGAGTATGCATTTGTCAAAATTGGCAAATGCACACTCAAGGTTTGTATATTTTATTGTGTGTAAATTTTATATAAAAAGAAAAATCTGCAAACAAATGTTGACGTCCAACTAAGGATAGGCACGCCATGTTATAGTATTTAGGAGTAGGTACACTATTGACTGCAATTTACTTTAAACTACATTAAAAATAGGATGGATTGATGAAGATATAGAGGAATGGGTAGATGAACAGAATTGGGATAAAGCAAGTACGATTGGCCTTCCATACCCATAGGTTGTACGTTCGTGGATTCAACTAACTACCAATTGAAAATATTCGAAAAAAATGGATGGTTGTATCTCTACTGAACATGTACAGACTTTTTGGTTATTGTTCCCTAAACAATACAGTATTGCAACTATTTACATAGCACTTACATTGTATTAGGTATTATAAGTAATCTAGAGATGATTTAAAGTATAGGGGAGGATGTGGGTAGGTTATATGCAAATACTACACCATTTTATATAAAGGACTTGTGCATCTATACATTTTGGTATCCATGGGGGAGGTCCTAGGACCAATCCCCCACGGATGCCAAAGGATGACTGTATAGTAAAATATTAATGGCATGGGTGTTCACTGCAAAATTCATTCCACTTTGCCCTATATTTAAAATTTTCCCATTAAAATGTTGTAAAGAAACAAAAACTTAAAAAAGAAGCCAAAACGATTATATTAATATCAGATAAAGTAGACTTCAAGACAAAGAGTATTACCCAGAGATAAAGAGGGTGCATTTCAAAATGATAAAATAGGTCAATTCATCAACAATCTTACATGTGTATGCACCTAACAGCGGAGCTTCAAAATACATGAAGCAAAAAATAACAGAACTGCAAGTAGGAATAGACAAATATACAATCATAGTTGAAAATTTTAACATCCCTTCCTCAGTAATTAATAGAACAACTAGACAAAAAAAAAAAAAAATCAGCCAGGACACAGAAGATCCAAACAACATCAACTACCTTGACCTAATGGATATGTTTCAGATCATTATACCGAACGACAGCTGAATACATATTCCCTTCAAGTGCACATGGAACATTCACCAAGATAGACCATATGCTGAGCCATAAAATAAACCTCAACAAATTTAAAAGGATTGAAATCACACAGTGTTCACTTTTACTGCAATAAAATCAAACTAGAAATCAATAATAAAGGTAGCCGGAAAGTTGCCAAATACTTGGAAATGAAACAATATGCTTCTAAATATTCCATGGGTCAAAGAAAAAATCAGAAGGGAACTTAGAAAATGTTTTGAACTGAATAACAACAATATTAAATGCAAGACAGTGAAATCTCAAGAGAAAGACAATCTGGAGAAATGTAGGGGTCCAGATCTGATGGGAAAGCAGGAATAAGGTGACATGTGCCTGGGTAAGGGATAGAGAGGCTGAGAAAGGTTAGAACTTAAACAGGAGGAAGAGAAAGGAGGGGGTTCAAAGGGTCCCCAGGGTTGAATGACAGTACGAGCATTGCTTTGAAAATAACTAACAACCTGTGGTCTCCTTAGTGATCGCAATCTCTTATTCAGCCACCAAATACCCTCTCCTCAAATCAAACCAGTTTATATATCATGCCTGTGTATACAGACAAACACTGTATCTTTGTGGGCAGGGAAATGAGTTCCTAAGAGAAGCTATGGAGCAAACACAGTGGTTGTTATACTGCAAATCTAATGAACACACCATCTAAGCCAATTCTGCTTCGTTCTTGGGAACCGGTATGGGCTCAGTCCTTACTCGTCTCTGTTTCTACGTGTGCTTCCCCACATCCTGTTTCTTGTCTACTTTTCTCAAATTACTCTATTTAGAAAGCCTCCTCCCACTGCCAGCTGGTCTATACATCACTCACACTCCTCAGAAACTACCTTCTCTCTCTTAGACATAAAGTCTCCCATGATGTATCCTTATGTGAACAGCATCTCTTCCTCTAAGCTGCTGTGCAATTCTTATACCACATTCCTACTAGTTTTTCACATCCTTTAGGGCAGGAAGTGTGTCTACATTGCCTCAGAGATTACTCATGGCACTTCACTAATAGTAGGTGTTCAATATCTTTTGAAAACTAAAACAAGAAAGAAAGGGAAGAAGGAAGGAAGGAAAGAATATAGGGAAAAAGGCAGAAAGAAGAGGCTCTTCTTACGCTGCTTCAAAGGAAAGTGATGACGTGAAAGCTCAAGGAAAAAGAAAGCTCTTATTAATATATAACTCACAGCCTTACAAGAACTATTATCAAGAGGCCCCAAAAGGAATTTCTATGTGTAATACCTTTAAAAGAAGTACGTTCTACTTTTTTTATTTTACCCATAGCACCGAACACATGGAAAACACTTAGTAAATAAATGCTTGCGGAATGAAAGGCAAAATACTTTCCTAATACATCCCAGGGAATACATAGGTCCCTGGCCTAAAGTCTGTAAAGCCAGATTGTTACGCAGGCTTGAGGCAGACAGTTTATCCTCTTAGTACCTTCTCATTTGGAAAATGTCAATAGTGTGACTCATTCTACCTCAGGTAGACAGTTTATCCTCTTAGTACCTTCTCATTTGGAAAATGTCAATAGTGTGACTCATTCTACCTTGACTGTCTAGATTTTCCTTGAGAAGGTCTACAAAGACCTTTGAACACCATAGAGAAGAATGAAAAGATACCATCAGAGATTGATAATCAACACTGAGATCTCAACACATAAATAACGACTTACAATAATTCCATCCAGTCCAGGCAGCCCAGGATCCCCCTGAGAAAAAGACAAAGGCAGGACACTGAAGAGTTTAATAAATTAAGTCTGAGATATTTTAGACAAATAACCTAAGAGTCATGAGGATAAAAACACATCACTGAAGCTTGGGCCTCCTCTGTCAAGGTCTTCTGTTTTAAATAACACATGAATTGGACATATTCAACCACTTAACTTTTTTTCCTAAGAAAAGCTTGGACTCTAGAAGACAAGTATTATAGCCTTGGCTGAACAGGATTTCATATTTTAGTTGGATTAATTAATTTTCACCTTTGCTAGGAACTTATCAATTAGAAACTGCTTCTGCGGGCTGGTGACTTTCTTGCTCTTTTTGGAGGAAAGCAAAGCTACCTTCCCGTGTGCCTTCATCCCCAGAGATTTTGTGCCCATATGTATACAATGCAAATCAGACATTTCAAGGGAAAATCAACAGAGCATACAGTCTCTGATTACGTTTTAATTACTTTGCAGCATCTTAAGTCACTGTATGAATCTGTAATATAACCATCTTGTGGAAATTGCTGTGTTCCACTGGATCCAGGGTCTCTTTGATATTTGGCAAAACCATTTAATTAACGTTTGCTAAGACAATGGCCATATTTTGACATCTCCTAGTCTTACCCCACTTGGCTTATGGTCAAAAATCAGCTATCTGTAGCATGGAAAGAGCACTGCCTGGGTTTTAGCTCTTCAGTGAACTGGCTGCGTGACTCTGAGCAAGTCACGTAGCCTCAGTATACCTCAGTTTTTCTATCTGTAAGATGAGCAATATGAATCCAACAATCATGAGGTCCTTTTCAGCTCTAACATTCTATCTTCTATTATGGCACCTATAGTCAAGAGCCCAAACCCTGGAACTTCTCCAGTTCTCCAGCCATTCACCCCTATCACTGCCTCCCAAAGCAATTTCTAATGTCCCAGTCTGTGTGCACTGATGGAAGACAGAAAAGTGCCATCAATTAGCTGAGTCAGCTTGGCGCATCCTCCCCTCAGATTTTGGGCACATAGATTCCCATTTACCACAGGGAAATGATGGACTCCCTTCCCACTCTGCAAGGAAATAGGGTCAATTATTTGGAGCTAGGGTTTACTGAGGCCCTGCCGGGTATCAGTCAACATACACTAAGAGTATAGTCATAAGCACATGAAGATTATCGTCAATTCTGGGGAGAGATAAAAGTTTCCAGCTGTCTGCAGAGCAGATGGGCAATTTTTGCAGACATTCAGGGGCCCAGCTAGGGTGATAGGCTGGTGTGCAGGGACAGAGAAGGGTGGGGCCCAGATCTTGGGCTGGTAGCCACGTTTAGATAGGCAGAGACATACATGGCATCAAACCGAGGTATATAGACATCAATGATACTAGAGTAGACAAAAGGTATCTGCCTCCGGGAAATGTCTCGGCTTGTCAAAGAAAATGCTACACATGCAAACTGTTTGTTTGCTGATCTGTCTCCTATTCTTGGTCTAGATCCTACAAAGCAAATCTCTTTGACAGTATAGTTGCAAACATTTCTATCAATGTTTCCACACAAAAAAGCTCCAGATCCTTTTAAATCCAGCTTGGTCTGCTCCTTAAATAGAGACACAGATGCTAGTTCTGGAAATGTTTTTATTGGAGGTGGGGCCCAATCCTGGGGAACCCAGCCTATAGCCTACTCAGCTGTCTGCTTTATGGGAACTTACCTTCATTCCTCTGAAACTATCTTGAGCGAGGACAGAGTCACCTTTTGAACCTTTTTGACCAGGAAGCCCCTGAGTGAAATAAGAAAATCTTGTGAAGAAACACATACTCATTGTTTTGTTAACTGATCTGATCAGACAGAGAACAGAGCAGCAGGAGCTTGAAATTATGTGGCTTATTCTATGGCAGAATTGGGACAAAACATACCCCCTGAACAGGTGCTGTGTCTTAAAGCTGTATGCCCATTCCTCTAACCCCCAAATCAGAGGTCTATAAAAGGATGGGGGTTAGAAAGTAGGAGACTTTACATCTATTGAGAGCACTGGCATGAACAACCACATATAATCCATAAGTTACAGTTCACTGCTCCACCCCTCACAGGTATAAATCACTGAAATGGCCTTTGTCTAGGAAAACAATCAGCAAAAATTTTATGTAAAGAGTAAGATATTAAATAATTTAGGATTCGTGGGTCACATCTAGGCTCTGTCCCATATACTTCTTTCTTTTTTAAAAACCTTTGAAAATGTAAAAAAAGGCCACAGGCCACTGTCCTCGTGGGCCAGTTTGCAGACCTCTGGTCTAAGTCATAGCTACAAAACCATCTTCCACCTATGCTTCTATCACACTACTTCAGCTTCAACACCTGTCTAACAGGCTGGCATGTCTCACTGTTAATGTGGAAAACAGTTCAAAGTACCCAATCCCAGTCTTTCGACCAGATTTTTTGCTGTCTTAGTGACAGATGCTGGCTAATATCTGCTAGAGTTTGTCCTCCTGGGGAAAAATCAATGTCCCTACATCTAAGGGCAAGTCACGATTAGTATTGTGGCTAGAGCTAAGCTTTGGGGACTGAAGTGTTGATTGAATGATAGATTCCTTCAGTGCAGGGATCATCGGTATAATAAAAGAACAACGTGGGCCCAGAACCACAAACCAGTTTCTTCCCTAACACTGCCTGTTTCCCCTTATTCTTGTGGCCACTACTCTCCTCAAAGGAGCCGCAAAGAAGCTGTCTGAATGGAAATCCTCTTGGTATTCAGCAGAGGGAAAGGCTCGGCTTAGCGAAATACATACTCAAGGTCCTATTTAGGCTTAAAGTGAGCTTTAGGGACAGGATTAGGTTTCTACCCTCCTTCTTTGTCTGTCAGGGGATGTTTACTACCTCAAGATTTCTTTTCTCCCTCTTGGGGGCAGCATTTCCTTGCTTTCCTAGATTTCCATTCTCAACGCAGAAGTGTTTATTCATTCTCTTCTCTGTTGCCAAGGCAGTATTTGGGGACCTTGTGACTCACACAGCCTCTTCTATGTTAGCAATACATGTTTCCCTACACCTCTCCCCACCGCCCACGTGGTATATTAGTTTGGTCCTTAGATATCAAGGTCCTTTATGCCAATCTGGGGCTTATGCTTTGTCTGTTTGTCTATCTCACTTTCTCATACATGTACCCATGCCCAAAATCTGGTCACTAGAGGCAATGGTGTTGCTACTCTTCCAATGAAGTGCCAATTAATTCACATAGCTATGAAATCTGTCTAATGGATGACATTATTTCTAGTTAAATATCTCACATTGGTACACTTATTACTTTAGATTATTTCAAGTGAGGTCAAGAATGGGTTGGAAATGTGTTATTTTTCTCTTTCCAGCCACTTGTAAAATCAACCTTGCAAGGGCATGGTATTTACTAGAGATAATTTTGATCCAAATATATGAGCCTTATCTGGATAAATGGAATGAAATAAAAGCAGTGACACTGGGATCCAATAAATACTTTATTAATCCCATAACCAAAGGTTATGATGTGTGTGGGGGGAACTGTCAGTGTAGAGTAGGGTTTTTCAACCTCAGCACTACTGATGCGTTGGGCCAAATAATTCCTTGATATTGGGAGGGGGTGGTGTGCTATCCTGTGCCAGTAGCATATTACCAGTTGTGACACCCAAAAATATCAATAATAATTGCCAAGTCTCCTCTGAGCAGCAAAATCACCCCTGGTTATGAACCACTGGTACAGGCCAAGCTTGCCAAGCCCTTTGGGTTCTCATTAGTGCTTCCATGATCCCATGTAGGTCTTCCAACCATTTCCCAATATCGTCTGATGTGGGAACATGTCAAATAGCCCAAGTGTGTATTTTGCTCTGAAATTTACTACAGCCTTTTAACAATCTTGCCAACTCCAAAAGCAGCATTAAAAAAAGCAACCCTAAGCAGTGTAGCATGTGTATACCCCCCTGCAACTGGTATTCTTCTTTAGACTTTTACTGTTGTGCTGCTGCCAGCATAGACTCCTGCATTGGACAACAGGCCACAGTGGCTGCCCCACGGAAGCTTAACGAAGTTTCCAGAGAAGCAGAAAAAGGGCACACTTGGAGACAAGCAAAGCTATTTGAAATAAAGTGCAAAGATCTGGCAACATACGTACGGGTGGTCCAAGAAGCCCAGGATAGCCATCAGGGCCTGGAAATCCAACAGCTCCTTGAGTTCCATTGCAGCCATCCAGGCCAGGTGGTCCTCTGGGGCCTGGCTGTCCAGGGTGGCCCTGTTCAAAGACAAAAGAAGGGATCAAGACAGCCACAGGACTGTCAGCTACTCCAAAAGGCTCTACAATGAGAAAACCCAAGTATGTTGCTAAATGCTGGCTCCTCGTCCACTCCCTTAGTCCCATTGTGTATGTTCCCATGTCTTTCCTTTATACTTAAGCATATGTGTCTAATTACAGCTTAGTGTTACCCCTCCCTAAAGGATCAATATTTTCATAGGGTCCAAGCTGAAACCAAAAGGATCAAGCATGAACAGATGGGATAACACAGGGTTCTACAACTTCACCTTCCTTGGGTGCAAAGATGTACTTAATTGGGGCTTAGCTGTCTGGCAGTTGAACTTCTACCAACAGAGAATCACGCCATGCCTTGAGATTTCTCAGACCAGACAGAACCTGGGCAGCCTGGCATGACTTCCTGTATTGGAAGCTCTGCATGGGAAACGATGCTGGATTTTGATGAACACAGCAGAAGCAGTTCCCACAGCACCTCCTCTCCTGAAAGTTGCTTGGCCAAAAATAAGCAAGTCCTGCAAGAATCACATTTTCAATCTCATTTTGTCATGATCACGTGTCTGGCTATTGCTTCAGTTAGGGAACTGTATCTTTTCCTCTTCTCCATACAAACTACTGAGGCAGTTGCTTTGCTGGGGAATTAGTAAGCATTCTCATACAATTCATCTGAATTCAGTAATTTTCCCGAGCTGTGCTTTCTTGATACATAGACTCTAATTTTTTGTAGAGAATATATCTTTTTTGATAAAGCTGATTGTGTGTTGGGCATGGGGCAAAGAGATGACCTAAAAGACCAGAAATCTGGATGAGTTAATTAAAAGGTAGATTCCCACACCCCACAAACAAGCTTGTAAATGCAAAGTATATATATTTAATGATTTGAGGGAAATATGCCATATGTTCAAAAATGAACTTTTCGAATTATTAGAGGAAACAATCTTTTGTCAAATTCTTATAGAGAAAATGTTCCATAGAATTCCCTTTCATTTTCATTGTTATTATAGTTGTAGGAGCTAGACAGACTGTTAACACAAAACTGTGAGTCTTGACTACTGAACTCGCGAAATGCTCGGTGCAGAAGAGTGGTCAGTAAACTTGTTTTTGCAATGCACTTGCTGCAATCTGCCTCTGCTGACTCAGGTGATGATTTTTAGTTTTACTGGGGAAACTGAGGCAGCTTACTAGCATTCACAACTTTTTATTACCAACTAGGATGGTTACTCTTGTTTTCCGTGAGGATCCACACTCCCCAGATCTGTGACTTGGGAGGCTGGCCTCTATGGACTGTACCACCTAGGCTCCCTTTCCTTCTGTCTACCAGTTGTATTTGGCCACTAGGAGACACAGGCTGGAGAGATCAGAGCAGGAGGAGAAAGAACACAGGTTATTTATTTCCCCGTTGCCCTTCCTCACTGGCTACATTTTGGGCAATGGCCACATTTCTCCATAGTCTTAGCTCCTGTTGGCAACAGCTATTCCATGGCTCCAGGTCTCACTGGGTTCTAGTATTACCATTCCATTTTTCCCCTTCAGGTCTAGGGGTGGTGACAGCTTTGAGTTAAATGCTTCACTGTCCATTATTGTTAATCCTGTCCACGTCCTTTAAATATACCATTCATTCAACTCTACTCAGTTAAAACCTTCAGTGTAGGGTCTGTTTCCTGCTGGGATCCCGATCACCACTGTAAAATGCCCCAGCCAAACTTGCTAGGGGTTATCTCTCAGCTGGGTAACAGGAATAAGTTGAGGCAAGATTACAGGCTGGCTTAGAACCAGGGATCTTCCTTACTCTTGGGATCTTGGTTTTGTTTGATTCCTGTGTCTGGATTGTTACCCTTTAGTATCCACATTTTTTACTTGGGCTCAATTCTTCTCTAGTTTTCTTGCCTGAACCCCTGATATCTCCTATCTGTAGGATTTAAGGGATAACTGTATATTCTTTCCTACCTTAGATACATTCTCTGGAATTAATCTCTGACCTCTGAGTCAGCCCTGCCAGCCCTTTTCTATCCAGCTGACACCATGGCATGGTAGATAGAACATGTTCTGAGCCTGTTAGAATTGTGCTCCAATCCTAGCTTTGCCACTCCCTACCTTGAGCATCAGCTCCCTCATGTGTAAAATGGAAATGAATAATACCTATCTTATGCGGTTGTTGTCAGTATCAACACATTAACTGCCATGTGAGTTGTATTTAACTCACACTAGTTTTGAGCCCACGGCCTCATGAAGCAAAACCTGGGCAAAACACTGCAGTTTGTTCCTGAAAATGTTACTTGTTGATGTCCTTATTGTTACAATTAATATTGACAAATTAATTCTAAAAAGGTGGATTAAATGAATAGATGTCAATAAATTTCATTTTTCATTAAATTTTTCATCACTTTGTTTTCGAAGTTTTTATTCTATTTTCCTAATAAAACACAGCGGCACCAAGGAAAAAATTTTTTTTCTAGTGGGGCAGTCGATGTGTTAAAAATAAATCAGGCCTACCCCACTGGGTTATGGTTAAAGTTAAGTGAGACTAGGTTTACTTAGTAGGAGCTCAATAAACAGTAAGTCTTCTCCCAGACAAGTCAGCAAGGATAAGCCATAGGGCCAAGCTCTACCTTCTCTCACTCCTTAGTACCACAGAACTTTCTGGCACATTGCCCTTTCTGGTTATAGCTAATGATTTTATATATGTATGTGCCAGCCCTCCAAAAGAGTATAGCTCATTGAGGGAGGAAACCATGGTTCTATGTAGTCATAAGGGACTGAACACACAGAATGGGAGGATATGCTGTGTTTCAGAAAAGCAATGTTCCTCAGAATCCAGTTTCAAAGGAAAAGTTTCCATTTGGTGAGTGGTATGTGTTCACTTTGAGGATATAAATCTAGTATGCTCATTTACAAGTCTCTAAGCAGGGAAATGTTTGAGATTGACTCCATGGGAAAAGCTAAACATAAATTGCAAAGGACAATTTGCAAACCTCTGCTCTCAACTTATTTGGATTCAAAACATTTGATAAACATATATTTCTTGTGGGTGCCAACAGCCCCAAAGTCACAGCTGGGATATCATTAAAAGCCACAGCCCTACCACCCCTAGTCTACGTTATTTTAATGTTGAATATTTTGATGAATGCTTGTTTGCTCACTCTCTCAATTCATTGCTGTGCCCCTTAAACTTGGATTATCACGAAATGACTACTTACCCACTCATGTTGAAATTGTCTACATGACAGCAAAAATGGAGTTTTGTGATCAAAACCACTGACACATATGTTAACAATCAGCCAATATTAAGAGGGGAACCAGGCTTGTGCAGTGATCCAGTTTAGTAAGATGTGTTAGGAAAGCTCTTGGTTTTAGCCAAATTGCTTAATACACGTTACTGAAAGTTGAACAAAATAATTAGTCTGACTGGGTCTATGGTGGCTGTGTTTTTCTCTGTCTGAGGGAGTCCTGCCAGTCTCAGAATTGTTTCTTTTATAGGCACTAGAGGTTGGAGTCAGTCCCCTCAATATTTTTCGAGTTACAACTATATGCTGAATTCAGCCCTGGGCCTCTGTGCTTTCAAAGAGCTGGATGAGACTAACACACAAGATGATCGATAAATGCCGTGGGGCTGTAAGTAAGGAGCTGGAGTATGTGGGAAAGGCCACAAGGACTCCTGGGAGATTATAGATTGAAGGAAGAGGTAAGCACTGAACAGAAGATGCTCAATAAATACTTCTTGAATGGCTGGAAGAGAAAGAAAAAACAAGGAAGAGGGATTTCACGGAGTAATGAGGCTTGGAGCCTGAAGCTAGAGCGATCGAAAGTCAAAAGAAAAGATGTACAACCTTTGGTTAAGGAAAGGGACAAGGCAGTGAGGACTTCTACTGGGAGCAGCAAGCTCCTTTGGAGGGGTCTGGACAGCTGCAACTCATTTTCCTGAGCAATGAAGCCCCAAAGAGAAGTGATCAATTCCTGCAAGCTGTAGGGCTCTCCTGGCCACAAGCTGGAGGCAGAAGCATCCACCTGGACTCCGGGGCAGGTTCCAGCTCAGAATTGGAAATAGCCTCAGCTTCACAGGATTCACTTCCTTCCAGCTCCCCTTAAGATGAGGCTGCAGGCAGAAGAGCATACTAACACTGCATGCTCCACATCTCCCACTCTCGTGAAGCCAGGTGGACAGGATGAATGAAAGAGGCTGCCTCCAGTTTGCCAGTCTCCCTCACCCACTGGCTCCCAGAAGATACTCCTCTGGGTGGAGACTCTGGTTGAAGTGGCCATAGGAACACAGCCATAACAAAATGCCAGGGGACGTCATAAAAGGATGGCCAACCCCATCTACTTATTTTCCCACTGGACAATTTCTAGGCATTTTGCAGACTCTGCAGTTGAATACAATGCAGAAATCTGATGGCCAACTTGTTGATACATGTAACAAATACAAAGTAAGTGAACCTTCTATTCTCCAAATCCACAAATGTCTGCTAGATCTGGGGAGAAAATGGATCAGATGATAATATCTTTGAGGGCAGAGCCATATGCTCCCTCTATATCTCCATAGTAGAGTGCTAGCACATAGCAGGTGCTCAAGAAATACTTACAGATTGGCACAAAGAGATTTGAACCCCCTTCCCTGATACTAGATGATTATGAAGTGTAATACAAAAAGCTGTTAACTCTAGGGCTTCCCAAACTGTGCCTTGATAAGGTTCAGAAGAACCCTTTAATGGTTGCTGGAAGGATAAAAGCAGGTTCTAGAACCTCACTCAAATGGAGGAGCTGTAATTTTTTTCTGTTCTATATGCTGAGCTTCCACACAGGATTCTGTTCTTCTCTTAAACAAGACTGAAAGCCACTGCTGTAGACAAATACAGCCCATGCTGAGGATTAAATATATAGAGAAGTGGCAAAGGAGAAAACTAAAAAGTGATGGCCAGTAAGTGGAGCCTCCTTATCAAATGAACCAGGTACAGTTTCTGCTATCCCTGAATAGCAGTTTTGGTTCCTTGCTGGCCTACTGAACTATTCAAACAAGCCAAAATGTTGTACTTTTTTAAATTTCAGTGTATTACGGGGGTACAAATGTTTAGGTTACATATATTGCCTTTGCCCTACCCAAGTCAGAGCTACAAGCGTGTCCATCCCCCAGATGATGCGCACAGCACCCCTCGGGTGTGAATATACCCATCCCCTCCTTCCCCCCAAAATATTGTATTTTAAAGGCTTGTGAAATGTTATCATGGAATCTCCAGTGGTGGGATAAGTAGGGATATAGGACAAAAATGGAGAAACTAAGGATTGGGCTGGATGGAATGGGAAAAAGAGATGTCTGCAAGCTCAAAATCTCCCACTTATCTCTGGCAAAGGAGACGTCCACAGGATGAATGGAAGAGGCTGCCTCCAAAAGATCTCTGAAGTAGTCACTTTGTAAAAACTAAAGGAAAATTCACTCTGAAATGGGGTAAAGCTGAAGAGAACAAATTACTGCAATGAAATGCATTAAGATATCACTAAGGATTTTTCTATCTAATTTCATGCATCTTCTTAATTTTCCTATAATGAGTATGTATATGCTCCAATGTGTCTCTGTCTCTACATCTTAGAACCAGTTCCTCACCTTCAATGAAAGCTTCCCTCAATCCACAAGACCTAACTCATTTTGGTGAAGATACTGATGGTTTCTTATGGCTGCATATGTCTCTCTACCCCTCAACCATCTGACTTAGGGCTACCTATACCAGAATCCAAGGGTAGTTGTATGTGACCACTACCCTTGAAACCTCACCACACATATCTCAACACTTGACCCTGAGCATGCTTGCATGAGACAGGATGTTGGTAAGGCCAGAGTACCTGAGCTATGAGACAAAACCTAGAGGAAGATACTAAAAATGCTTCTGATAGGCACACTCACCGGAATCCCATTGATGCCAAGAAAGCCAGGAACTCCCATTGGACCCTAAAAAAAAGGAGAAGGGAGACGAATGTAAGATACAATCCAACTGATGTCCATTAGATTGGGTAGGTTTGTTTATGTGAGTCAATGGCTTAAGTTGTTAAGAAGTGTTTTGTACCTCCCTCCCCACATTGTATTGCCTTGATCCCTACTCCAGTTCCAAGTGATCACTTACTTCTACATAAGGTCTTGGACATATTTTGTCTTAGGCAGTAGAGTTTAAGTCCTAAAAATTAAGGTTCAATACTATATGCTGTTTTGACATCTGGGGAAAACCAGAGGGCCTCAAATGGCCTAATCAGAAGTTCCCCTCCCCATTATGCTTCTTCAATAAGGTCCCCTAGCCAAACAACCTCCTTATCAAATGGACCAGGTGCCAGGTGCAGTTTCTGCTTATCCCTGAATAGCAGTTTCAGTTCCTTGCTGGCCTACTGAATTATTCAAACAAGCCAAAAACATCCATCCTCAGGGGCCAGGGGCACCGCCTCCTCTTGATACTACAAAGTCTGCCTCCCACAACCTATTCTAGTTCACTCTGTTCCCAAGTGCTACTCCTGTGTGGCCCTATGTGATGTATAGTGTCCTCCTCCGCTGATCTATGAGTATATGTGACTAATAAACTGCTGTCAATCTCATCTATCCAGTGCTGGGTGTTATATCTTGGGTCATCCCCATAATCATAGTGTGGGAATCCCTCCCTCAACAACGGAGTGAATAGGAGGTTATTAAAAGAGGCAGGAAACATAAACTGAGCTGCTGAACTCAGTCAGCCAGCCATCATGCTATTACCATTTTCCTTTCTTGTAGCTCTTTCCCTGTATTTGTGGCCTGGATTGCTTTCAACCATTCTTCAACCCTTGCTTCCCAGTCTCCTTGCTTGGATTCCTGATATCTACTGCCCAGCTGATTGGACTTCTGATCCATGCCCAGTTCAAACCTATGTGACTTCTCACCACAGTGATCTCACTTGTCTAGCAAGTGGCTAATAAATTCACTTTGTGGTTTGCTTGCCATGAGAGTCTCTCTAGAAATGGGCTTATCCATCAGCAGCCTGTTACCCACCCCATCTCATATTAAAGAATGTAGCCTGGTACCAAAGTACTCAGAAATAGTATTACTTCCATAAATGAGTAGAACTGACATGGAGAACTTTTAACCTTCATACTTATGGCCCCTGCATCAAAGGCAAATCAAGCTTTGGTGCTCTTACCTTATCTCCTTTTGGTCCATAAGGTCCCAGTGGGCCTTGGGAGCCCCTTTCTCCTTTCAAGCCTGATAGACCAGTAGGGCCGGCAAATCCTTGAGGACCCACTGGACCTTGAATCCCAATAGGTCCAGGTCGCCCCTAAGATGCACAGAAGGAGTGCAATTAGTCAATAGAGGACTTAACATCAATACTTCCCATTTTCCCATGCACAAAGAACACTGTCATCACTTCACTAAATAATTTTGGCTTAGATATCTGTGAGGCAAGCCAAAGTTCCAGACACAGATGAGGAAAGGCTATTTTAGGGGCTGCTAAGCTTATTTGGATAGAACACATTTTATAAGCACATTTAATAAGATTCATGTGCACCAAGATCCTTCAACGTTGTACTTCTTAGGAGATTAGTTATTCAGGCTGGATAATATTGTCCTTTTCCTAGTTAATACCAGGCCATCCATCAGATTGTCAAAATAGTGAAAGAACAGAACGCTGGAGAGCATTGTGACATTTTATAACTCACATCCAAATGGCCAACCACATGCTTGCAGTGAAGTCCAAAAATGGTGTGCCTAAAAAACACTGCCCCAGGGGGCCAGAGAGAAGAGAACCCAGAAACTCATGAGCTGAACAACCTGTCAGAGCTCATCTTTGCTGGCAGATCCCAGGACCCCCATTGCAGCACCTGGCAACTGACACAAGGAAAATAAACACACACATATACATACATGCACATGTCTGCACACACAGGCATACACACACACGAATTGTTTATTTGTTCTTCCTCCCTATCCCCCTCCCCCCCCCAATTTATAAAGTACTCAATGTATAAAATACAAGGAGCCTGAGAATATCCGTTAAGTATCAATTATGATAGCAAGAGGGAACAGACTAAGGATTTTGAATGCCCTGGTTATAAAATGTCTGTAACAATTAAGTCTGAGAGTTCAGGCTGACATTTTAAAGCAGACTGAGAGTGAGAATTAACCCCAGTGGGTGCAACACAGGCAGGCTGGTCTATCATTTAGAACAAATCCCAGTAGGGACTGAAATTTCTTGGCAGAAAAATGAAAACCATTAGTAATGTGCATTACCTTTCAAAAAGCACATCACTATATCAGGTAGAAAGCCTATTTTCATAAATGCTTCTCATCTGCACCTCTTGGCCCCTTTACTGACTGTCCACAATTTCCTACGAATCTGTAAAAAAACTCTGAAAAAAGCCCATTAAACATGGCATTTACTGTTTACTTTCATGGTTTACTTTTTAAAAGGCTGAAAAACAGGACAGATGCTTTATGCGGTGGCCAGAGTCACGTACTGGAGATGCAAGTGGCCACCAGCTGTGCTGGTCTTTTGGAGTATAATTTCCAGTGTCAATCAGGCCCATGAAGACCTAGGGCTCTTGCAAAGAAGTAAAAGACGCTCTTCCCAGGGAGATGCAATTTTCTGGGGCACCACCTACCACTCAACCTTTCCCAACATCCAACATGCAGCCTACAAAGAATGACAGGTTGCAAACTGTTTAACAGACTTCTTTCTGGGAATGATGGGGGTGGAGGGAGCTTTCATTTTTTAGGCTCCTACTTCCCATTGTTGGAATCTTGTTTACGATGATTCTTTTATTTATTACTCTTGTAAGTTTCACAAAATCAATATATATGTGTTTATATATGTGTATGTGTGTGTACATAGTATGTGGGTGTATATGCATATATACGTATGAAGAAACTAAAAAGAAAAAGAGCAATACTTAAAGAAAAACACTGCTGGGGTACTTCTGAGGATGAGTGAGGAAGTTGCAAATGTGGGCCTAGGTTTCAAGACTAATGTACACAAAACCATAGCAAACAGTGCAAGTTTGGAACAGAGCCTAAGTGCTGCGGGAACACAAAGGAAGGGTTGGCCACGGAGGGTTTGTGGAATGCTCACATTTTGCCCATGGCTGGGGGAGTCATGGGCCACACTGGAAAGGCTGAGTGGGCCCCAGCTGAAGCGGGCCTGGAAGGCATGGCAGGGAAGTTGAAGACCTGATGTGGAAGGACACAGAGAACCCTCAGAGGCTTGGGAACAAGGGAGGGCTGAGAAGAAAGCAGTGTGGTCAGGGCTGAAAGTCATCAAGGAGCATTCAGGAGAACATGTGTGTGTCAGCGTGAAGCCAGCACAGCCTGCCTGAGGCGGCTGGAACAAGGGAGGCAGATAAGAACCAGCTGTTGGGGAGGAGGGGATTTCTTTGTGGGAGGATAGGGGGCAGGATGGCCTTGCTGAGGCCATGTTATTACTAGCAGAGAGGATCCAGTCAGGGCACTGAATGCTTGACCCAAATCTGAGCCCTGCCAAAAGTTTTCCCTCATCAAGGGAGGGGAGGGGAAGAGCATGATAAACCACCAAACAGCTACTGAGAGCGCAGGTTGTGATGTGGCCCAACTCTCGTCCTGCTCACACCACTAGAGAGAAGCCCAAGCAACGCCCAGTGTGGGCACACGGGCTGGCACACTCCGTCTGTGGTCCCCTGCCTTTGTGAGCACATGCTCATCAGCAAGGGTAAGAAAGGAGACTTAGGGGGGAGGCAATTCTCGGGCTGTACTTAACAGGAACTCGGATTCCACCCAGAAAGGCAGGGTTGCACAGCCTGCATCCTTTCTCTTGTCTGGGTGAGCATGTTGAATTAACTGACTCCTGTGTTTCAGGCAGAGAACTGAAAGTGGGCCTCCTAAAGAACTCATGGATTTAAAAAAAATTTCTGACTCTTTTTCCAAAGGGCATTTGAAAAGGCACCCCTTGGAGGAAGGTGTACTTCTAGGCTGGCCCCAGGTGCTTGGGTTGGTGGGCATGTCAGCAGGCCAGCTCAAAACCTCGCAGACTGATTGACTTAGGGCCAGAATCAGGGCCTGTGGGAAGTCTCGAGGCTTCTGAAGCACTGCTGGCACGGCCTGCCTCCTCAGTGTGGTGCCAGGCCCTTTGGGAGCCTGCAGCCATAGGATGCAAAGCAAGGAGCCTTCCCACCCACTGAGGTCCTTTCATATAGTGGCACAGAGTACCAGAAACAAATGAAGGTGGGCAAGAAAAAAATGAAGGAGATATATTTTGTTTGGAGGTTGTTTTGTCAGCCATCTTTAGATATACTTGCTCTGTGCTTTTAGCTGCATGCATGGGGTTTCTGTCTGAGTACCCACCGTACCGCTGAAGCTTAATACTATATCAATAATGAACTGCTTCCCCCCTCCATCCGCAAGACCCTATCAGTGACACTTTTCATAATGGCCAGCAGAGGACAGTGTGACAACATAGAGGCTACAGATAAGCAGGTGGGTGGGTGGGCCTCTCCCACTACAGAGAAAAAGAAATCACTCCAGTGTCAGAGAAGTCACAGAATGTTCGAGCAGGAAGGGCCCTTAGAGACCATTCAATCCAGGCTTTATTTTATACATGGGGGGGAAAAAGGCCGAGAGAAGAGGAAGGACTTGTTTAGGTCACATAGCTAGTAGGAACGGCATGGGATGCAAACCAGACTGCCTGCTGCCAGTGCATGGCTCTTGCCCTGTTTACCAGTGGCAGATGTCCTAGGGGATCCTTGAGGCTGGCCCCCCCACCATTCCAGACCCGCCCATGGGACTGTCCCCATCAGTAGGCTGCAGCAGCCAGATGCTCACACATCATTTCTCTCTTCCTAACCCTGATCACTTCACAGAACCAATCTGAAACACCGTCACTGTTTGGACTGCTAGCAGAATTTCAATGGGCTTGGACTAATGCCCTGCCTTGATACATGTCATTTATTTTGGCAAACAGACCCAGACAGGGCAGAAGGAACCCCTCCAAGTCTTTCCAACAAGCTCTCCTGCCTCCATCTGCTCAGGATTTTAAATATGCACATCAGGGTCTAATTCTCAAGGGGATGAGTTCGGACGTGTGCCTAAGGCCAGGGACTGCAGGTCCGCAACTGCAGCCCATGCTGGCTGCCTCCTCTGACCACAGTGGGTTGGAGTCATTGTGTAGTTTAAGGTCACCTTTGATCAGACCCAGACAGCTAGGGTAGCAGTCCCAGAAATGGGTCCGTCTATAAAGTAGTAGATATATATGGAGATAGCATCTAAGAATCTGAAAAGCACATGCCTCAGACTATGGTAGGACTGTGAAACTGACGGAGGGGGCTGAATTTTCATAACTCAACCCTTTTCTGCCTTTTTATCCCTCCCTTAAGGTTCCAGCGTTCTTCTCCCATAAAATTAAAATTTGTTTGTAAGGAAGAATCTGAAACTCATTCCCACTGAGGCATAAATGACTGACAACAACTTAGAGCTTTACTTTTCCCAGGGGGATTTGTAGTTTAATGGAGAGCAAAGCATTAAGCTAAGGGATGCAAATAACATTTGTGAAACAAGGGAAGGGAGAAAAGTGTGCACGAGCCTTCCTAAGGATCCAGCTATATTCTAGGAGGTGGTTTGGTGCTGTTCTGTAGACCTGGACTCAAATCTCTTTACTGCCGTTTAATAGCTATGTGACCTTGGGCAAGTGACTTAACCATTCTGAATCTCAAGGGCTCAGGAACAACAATAGCTCTTGTGTAGGATTATTGTGAACATTTAAGTGAGTTAATGAATGTAAAATATCTGGCAGATAGAAGGAAAGTATCAGTTTCCTTTCTTTTTTAGGTATCATTTATGATAAAATGGAGAAGTTACGATTGGGTACTTAATGCTTCTTCCCTTTATTTTCAGTAAGAGATGCACAGACATCATTGAACAAGCCTCTTTGGGGCAGAGATGTGTGCCTGGGAATGAATGAGCATGTATACCGGCAACCCACGTCTGTGAGAGCATCTCCCGCCTTACTTTGCACTGGTGTTCTAGCTCTCCTGGGCACTTGGCTCCTCAGTGTCTGCTCGTTCTCCTAAAGGGAATTCATCTACACACTAATGACTCCTGAATTTGAACCTCCATCCCAGATTTCTCTTCTGAGTGTGCCCGGTCCTTATAGCTAATGGCTTATCAGAGACCTCTCCACCTGGATATTCCAACTCAAACTCAACATGATCAAAATTGAACTCATCATCTTCTCCCCATCCCTATTCCCCAAATCAGCTCCTTTCTCTGGAGTTAATGGAATTAACCTCAGTAAATGGCACCATCCACAAAGTC